ATATGTATATATATATATATACATATATTAATTCTACATATATATTTATGTAATATTTTTACATAATTAGGTATCTTAATTAATTACAATTAGCGGCACCTGCCTGACAACCCATGCCGAAAGTAAAGGGAATTTAATTTGCTAGCACTATATTTAACCCTATAACTTTCCAAGACACCATAAAACCTGTACATGGGGGGGTACTGTTCTACTCGGGAGACTTCGCTGAACACAAATATTAGTGTTTCAAAACAGTAAAATGTATTACAACGATGATATTGCCAGTAAAAGTTTTTGCATTTTTCACGCACAAACAGCACTTACACGGATGATATTATTGCTGTGATACTTTTTACTGTTTTGAAACACAAATATTTGTGTTCAACGAAGTCTCCCGTGTACAACAGTACCCCTCATGTACAGGTTTTATGGTGTTTTACAGCATCAAATATAAGGCTTGTGTTTCATTTTTTTCACATTAAAATTCGCCAGATTGGTTACGTTGCCTTTGAGACCCCATGGTAGCCCAAGAATGAAAATTACCCCTATGATGGCATACCATTTGCAATAGTAGACAACCCAAGGTATTGCAAACGGGGTATGTCCAGTCTTTTTTAGTAGTCACTTAGTCACAAACACTGGCCAAAATTGGCATTTTTTGCATTTTTCAAACACAAACAAATACTAACGCTAACTTTGGCCAGTGTTTGTGACCAAATGGCTACTAAAAAAGACTGGACATACCCCATTTGCAATACCTTGGGTTGTCTACTATTGCAAATGGTATGCCATTATGGGTGTAAATTTCATTCCTGGGCTACTATAAAGTCCCAAAGGCAACGTAACCAATCTGGCGAATTTCAATTTCAAATGTAACGTGCTATATTTGACCCTGTAACTTCCCAAAACGCCATAAAACCTGTACATAGGGGGTACTGTTTTACACGTGAGACTTTGCTGAATACAAATATGTGTATTTTATTGCAGTAAAAGCAAACAGTATTATGACATTGACAGTTAAAATGTCATGTAGAACTAAAAAAATTTAAAAAAATCTTATTTTCTCCCATTTGTTTCATATTAAATTATGTTCCATAGCTAAATATTTGATATTAAATGAAAGCCCTGTTTCCCCTGAATAAAATGATATATAATAAGGGTGGGTGCATTTACTATGAAAGAGGTGAATTATGGTTGGACAGACATGTAGCGCAAATGCCAGGTTTTGTTTACATTTTGTTTTGTTCACAACGTCTACATTTGGCTCCATCCTTAAGGGGTTAAGGGCTTAGTGTTTTGTTTTGATGACAGTTGCAGGAGCGGAATCAGGGTGCGGGGAGGAAAAGCTGTTCACAGTTTACTTGATATGCTTTCCTAAAGAAGTAAGTTTTCAACGTTTTTTTTTCAAGTAGTTAAGATTGGGTTAAAGTCTAACAGAGAGGGGAAGAGCATTCCATAGGAACGGTGCAGCCCTAGAGAAGTCTTTCAGGTGAGAATCAGAGGTAGGTGTATGAAGCGAATCTATTAGCATTTGTAAAAAAAAAAATGAAAACAAAGATTTGAGTTAAAGAATTATTTCAATCAGTTTAACATTCATTTCCATTCAAATTTCAATTTGTTACAATTTTTAGTTCAGTGAATAAACTCCTAAAGTGTGATTTGTCAGAAAAATATATTGGTATTATGTAATAGTGGGAGGCAAAGTATACACTCAGTACAGAAAGTATTTGAATATAATAAAAGTTGCCACTAATTAATCAGCTGTTTCATCCGTCTTGAACGAACCTCTAATTGATCAATACTAAAAAAGAAATTGGTGTAATGTACTGTGAATATACTTATAGATAACGTTTACAAATAAGGTTTTGTAGCATTTTTTTAAAGTGTGATGAAGAATGATGTTACACATGCCCCTGACCCTTGGATCTATCCTTTCATTTTAGACAACAGCCATTTACTCAGAGATTGGCGATCAGAAACATGTCCTTAATGCTTCCTTTCATATTTCCAAACCAAACATGCTCCTGCCTCAAAATACCATGCCATTACTATTAAAGTAACTTTAAATATCTTGCTTGTAGGAATATGCTTGTTTTCTCAATCTGCATATATCAAGGTCCAATGATTCCTTTATACATAAATGTTACGAACATGATACCTCTAAGGACTCAATTGCATGTATGAGACACTGGCTTGCTATGTGTCTGGAGTCTGTGATATTTGTGACAGTTTATAAAAGTGACAAAGTGATTCCAACAAAAATTGCAAGTTTTATAATTGGGGCAGATACACCTCCCGGCTGTCACTCAGATATTAAAAGAAAGCTCTTTTTGTCCTTAAAACCCCCCAATATATAATAATATGTATGTGTGCACTTAAAGAGAAACCCTTAATTTACAGTGGAATAAAGACATTGATCAAACTCTAGGATTTGTTTTGGTTCATATCTTGGATAACTGACTCCATCTTTAAGTGGTTAAAAGACTTCCACTATGTACAATGTGTAGGAGGCATCTTACAAGGGCCTAAGAGGACTAAAGTAAATGTTTGTGAGAAACCAGCTACAGCTTAAAGTGACATATTGGATGGAAAGTCATAGAGTAGTACAGACAGAAAAATGTCCCTTTGTACATCAGGACAAGCGATGAGAATCAGTTCTTAAAGTTCAAGGATTTCCCTTATTCCAGAATCATGTGAAATATTGCATAACAGGTGTGACGAACTGCCCTTCACCACTTGTGCCTGGAGAGGACTAATTGCCGGCCTCTTGCCATGTGACTATGGCCCCTGGGAGACTTTGCCAGTTAAAAAAACTATTTGGACTTATTGGTGTTCTGGCCTTTTAATTGGAACTGGCACAAGTCTGCACCTTTGATTCCATGGGAGAATGTGCCTTTTCCTGTCCCATTGTTCTCCAGCAGCGCATTGTCCCAGGGACACTGCCAGACCAGTTTAAACTGGCTGCTTTGTCGCTCCTCAATCTCTATATCAGCCCTTGCTAAACGTAAACCCCATGGTGATTTGACTGTGTTTGTGGGATATGAGCACTGTTCTGATATATTGAGCGCTCAGATCCAAGCTATCTGGGGATAGGTTGAATGTGGGGGTTCTGTTCAGTATGATAGGAATTATGTATTTTTGTGTATTTTTGCTGTTGTTGTGAATAGAGATATTTTCTGTACCTGGAGATAATTGACTTACCACACCCAAGCCATGCTTGCAGTCGGTCAAAAAGGACTTCCACCTAACTTTTAAACCACTGGAGGGAATTGTCTGATTTTTGAGTATGTTTGTATTTTGGAGTATGCTGTTACTGAAAATGTAAGTTTTATGTGAATGTGATGTATACTTTTAAAGTTATGAATATTGTGTAAAACTGCCTGTATTTTCCTGCCTGTGATAATTACGTTAGCCCATTGTGTTCAATAGAGGGGAGGATTTTGCTGTAATGAATGGGAGTGTTTAACTGTATTGTACGTGTTTGATTGGCTGTTCCACAAGACCATGTGGGTGGTACTTTGTGTGTAAAAGCTTGCATAAAAGAAAGCCCTTTGCTGCCATTAAACAGAACTACTTGACCCTTTCTTGAAGCCTTGGCTCATGCTTGGGGGATGGGATAACTACACTCTGGGGATTGCTATATTCACACTATACTCCCCAGGGTAAGCTCTTGTAAGAGCTGTTCTTGTTCCTGCTATGCTTTCTGGGAGAAGAGAGACCTGCCCACTGAAAGCTGGATCCTGGCCTTGGATCCAGGGTGGGTGAAAGACGGCGAGACCCCAGCGCATCTGCATCACTAGAAGTGGGATCTGCAGTGCTGATGGTGTCGGTTGGAGTGCTTGGAGTCCTCGGCAAGCGCTAGGAGCATCGATTGGCAGAGGTACTCGGTCGGAGTGCCAGCGTTCCGTCACAAAGGGCTTTGGAACTTCCACTGGTGACTGAAACACCAGCAAAGGACAAACATAACAGGCATCAATATAGGCTTAATTTGATCCTAGAACTGCAGACATTATGTAATACAATAATTATGTTCCCACTTAAAGTGACACTGTAACTGCTTCATTACATTGAAGTAGTTATAGTACCCTGGCATCATTCTTCCATTCAGTGTTAAACTGTTTTTAATGCTAAACGAGAGTTCCCTGTCTACTCCTTGGGCTAATGAGCAAGCATTAATCTGAATAGCAATGGAAAGTGGTGATTGCTTGAGTGTCTGCTTACAGGACAAAGTAAATCACAGCTGATAATTCTGGTATGAGTTGGTATGGCTAGAAGGAGGTGTGCGATCTTTCCATATCTCCAGCTTGCCAAGGTTCCTGATGTAGCCTCAAACCGCTAGAAAATGGTTTAACACTGAAAGGAGGGAAAGCGCCAGGGGACTTAAGGAAATTTAATGATTATAATGCCTTCAGTGTCTCTGTCAAGCAGACCTGCACAATTTGGCAGTAGGTAGTTGCAAAAATTAAAATGGACTAAACTTCTTTAGGTTGCAGATAGTTTTTTTTCTTTCCCTTTTCAATTTCTAAATGCATGGCTGTCCATTTCCTTAAACTAAACTTGACCAAAACTGCAATTCTGGTCTTTCCTCCCTCAAGTGTTGTTACTCCTGTGTCTGTCTCCCTCCAAGTCAATGGTGCTACCATCAGCTCCACCACGCAGGCTCGCTGCCTAGGTGTTCTCTTTGACTCCGACCTCTCTTTCAAGCCTCATGCTCAATCTATCGCCAAATCCTGTCATTTCCATCTCACAAACATTGCGCGCATCCGCCCTTACTTAATGCCAGATGCGACTAAGGTGTTGGTCCATTCCACTGTCCTTTCTCGCCTTGACTACTGTAATCCGCTTCTCAGTGGTCTTACATGCTCCCAACTTGTGCTGTTACAGTCCATAATGAATGCGGCAGAGAGACTCATCTTCCTGTCCGCCCGCACCTCCCATGCCTCACCCTTCTGTCAGTCCCTACATTGGCTTCCTATAAAATATAGAGCTCAATTTAAAATTCTGGTTCTTGCTTTCAAATCTCTACATAATGCTGCTCCCACCTATCTATCCTCCCTTATACACAAGTATGTCCCGTCTAGGCCCTTACGATCTGCTGAAGACTTACGTCTATCTTCTGTCCGTACTCCCACCTCTGATGCTCGCCTTCAAGATTTCTCGAGGGCTGCACTGTTCCTGTGGAACTCGCTTCCCTCCTCTGTTAGATGCTCACCCAGTCTCCACTCCTTCAAAAAATCGTTAAAAACCCACTTCTTCATAAAAGCGTATCAATTAAATTAATAGCTCCTGACTGATTCCTCTTCTGCAACTGTCACTAGTCTAAGACTATCCTTACCTTTTTGTGTAATTTTACCCCACTCCCTCTAGCATGTAAGCTCATTGAGCAGGGCTCTCAACCCCTCTGTTCCTGTGTGTCCAACTTGTCTGGTTACAACTATATGTCTGTTCGTCCACCCATTGTAAAACGCTGCGGAATTTGATGGCGCTATATAAATATCATAATAATAATAATAATAATAATAAAGGTATAAAATTGACATATAAAAATTGAGACACACAGATACACGTGCAGGTCACAATATAGACTTTTATTGCCACCCTCCAGTTTCCTACCTTTTGGGTGCTGCAGGGTCTCTAATGTCCAGTCTGCATGCCGAGGCTGTTGGAAGTTAGGGGCTGGCTCTTGCAGCCTGTGTCCCCTTCTCTCATCTTTTCCTCTGTTCTGTTCTCCAGTCTCTCCCAGCCAGGCCCCCTCCTCTTCCTCCCTCCTGCACGGCTCCGGTCTTTCAGGGAGAAAGTGGCAGGCTGTCACTTCCTGCCAGGATGCCCATAAGCAAGGGGCCTGGTCGTGCTGTTAAAGTATTACTGCACCTGTTGTGCATGTCTGTTTTAAAGTAAGATCTTTAAAACATAGAAAATCCTACAACAAATGTCCATCTATATTTAGTAAACAGACAGAGAAGATGATTCTCTTATTGAAAAAATTCTGGTACTTAAAGGGACACTATAGTCATTAAAACTTTTGTCCCTGCAGTGTCACTGCTCAATTCTCTGCCATTTAGGGGTTAAATCACTTTATTTATGAACCCTAGTCACACCTCCCTGCATGTGACTTGCATAGCCTTCCTAAACACTTCCTGTAAAGAGTCATCTAAAGTTTATCCTTACTTTATTGCAAGTTCTGTTTAATTTAGATTGTCTTATCCCCTGTTAATAGCTTGCTAGACCCTGCAAGAGCCTCCTGTATGTGATTAAAGTTCAATTTACAGAGAAAGAGATACAATTGTTTAAGGTAAATTACATCTGATTGAAAGTGAAACCAGTTTTTTTTCATGCAGGCTGTGTCAATCAGGGCCAGGGGAGGTGTGACAAGGGCTGCATAAACAGAAACAACGTGATTTAACTCCTAAATGGCAGTGAATTGATCAGTGAAACCTGAGAAGCATGATCTATACACTAAAACTGCTTCATTGTTTATGTGACTAGAGTGTTCCTTTAACAACTTAAGAAGCAAGGACATGTCATCCTTGACACAAGTAGGGTTATTTGCTTATTTGAGAATTCAAAATGAATGTCATAACAGCCCAACTGGACAAAAAAAATCCAAATCAGTTCACCGACCCTTGTGATGTTTGCTGCATGCTCCGCCGCGAGGGAAATCGTTGGGCTCCCTGCCATCCAGTATGTCTTGTTCTATAGTGGCTCGATTCCTCACATCTTGAAGCCCAGACCTTGTTGAGGATCCCCCCCCCCCATTCCATGTGGCAACATCTCGGGCCCAGCGGATGCTCCGAAATCCGGGCGCCTCGTCGCGTGCGTGGATGGTGGGCCGGGTGCGGGTCACTCGGCCTAGAGGGAGCATATGCAGTGGCGGTAAACCCCCTGTTCGTATGGGCAGGGGTCTGTGGATCACGAGGACAGCTGCTTATGCGTAGCTAAAATGCTTGGCAGACTGCTTCAAACTTGGCCGCAAAGGTCTCCTCCCATGACTGGCTCGTCTGGCATGTGTAGCGGTAATGAGGTAGTTGCTCAGCAGCCATCTTAGATGTACCATGCAGTTACCAGGTCAGCATGGTTTTAGATCAAGACTGCAGAGATGTTAGTGTATCCAGTGGGGACTGGGATATCGCCCACCGGTCCAAAACGAGGGGGTGGGGGGTGATGGAGCCACAAGGGATCCGCTGGAAGAAACGAGCCCAGTGTCAGGAGACCGGCTGCCTCTCCCAGCTACCAGACTGCAGGCCCCAGAGGCAGATTATGTAAGTACCCTTCGGGGCACCGGCTTTCAGGCTTATATTGTTGTAGCTCGCAGTAATAGTAGCACAGCATGAGCTTAGGACTGCTGATGTGAGTGAAGTAGATTTTTGTCCTTTTTTAAAGCTCGGTGAGTAGCAACTACAGTGAGGCACGTCTGTCCATCTTGCAGGTCAGGCCCTGCCCCCAAGTCGTTTGATAATTACAGGACAATATAACATTTCATGTACATTTTGGTGTAAAACAGTCTTGCGTGTTTGAAGATTGCCTGCTTGGGAAAGGAGGTCACATAAGCACAACACATATGGCAATGCGTAAAATATTCCATCGTGCTAGCCAAGCCCACTTTTTGGGAAAGAGACAGTTTGGGCACAGTCTTGGCGTGGGCTTGAAAACCGATGGAGCAGACATGCAACAACCTGCAAGCACTGAAACTGCAACCCCTGCATTGAAGTTGTTGCATATCTGAGCCTAACCTAAAAAGACTATTGGTCTCCCCAGTCTGTCTTTCAATCCTTTTTGTTTGTATGTGTTTGTGCTAGGGGTGGTGTAGCTAGTGGTGGATAAACTAGGCTCATTGGAGCACAAATTGGTAGCATGACACCTGCCCAGCGAAGTGGCGACAGAACAACTCAGTGTCCATGTGGCTCCAGTCTATCCTGATATTGAACTGTGCAAATGTTGCCACAGCCTTGGCTGAAAAAGACTTGTGGTAATCGCAAAATGTGGTGCCACCGTACTTGTTCCTCAGGTCTACCAATTTGTGCATGTACAGGTCTAGTTCCTCTCTGCGCTGGTGGGAAATTAAAGCAAATTATGTCTCTGTACAATCAAAATGCTATTACGAAGTCTGGTATGGATAGTTTTTTTAGTCTGGGATCTTTGGCTTTGAGCACCACTTACAGGTCACCGTAATTGTATGTTTTAATTTCGACTATGTCTTGAGATGCTATCAATAGGGACATTAGGTTTATGTCCTTTCCCTCCAATATGTCTTTCTTAATGTTGGGAGTGACCATGTCTGCGGGTGTGATGATATGTGTAGCAGACCCCTGTATGCTTGGTGTGGCAGTGACATTACCCTATGTGATGGTTTGTTCGGTGGTTAGTGTGGGAAGGAGATCTGCAGGAGTTACAGTAGCTGGTGCTGACAATTCCAACTTCTCCATCCTTTGATTTAAATTATTTATGGATGACAGAATCGAAGACATTGTGGCCTGTATCCCAGTTAGGGTGTCGTTTATATTGGCTTGCATACTGATCCCTTGTTGCGGATTATCAGAATTGGACATCATGAGTCTATATACCTATAAAAGTCCGCCTTTCTGGCGGTGGCTGGGTATGGTATACCCCTTAGCCTTAATTCTGAGGTGATCTTTGGGATGGTCCATGACCTCAAGGAACAGGGACTTGAAGGGTCTTGGTTTTCACCCACAGTAGGGGGCCGTGGTTGGTCTAGCTGGTGTGCTGGGCAATGAGAAGTCCTCTCCTTGGTCTGACAAGTGAGACATACTATAATGACATTAAAATGAGACTGATGATTATACGGTTATTGGTAGGTTATGTTAACTGGTGTCTGTTTTAATACCGGGTGGTGAAGAACTTATCTATGTGTGGGATGGTGTGGCCCTGCTAATTGCAAAGTGGCTGGTAGAGGCGCTCTCTATGATTTGGCTCTGTGCAATTAAATGATGGCGGGGTGTAGGCCTCTGTGGAGCTTGAGAAGACAGTGGGTAGGGAAAGAGACACCCTAACTACTCCTTAGTAAAGTGTTGGGAGACTCTAGCTATGATTTGGGCTGATGGGCGAAAATACCTCCGCGTGAGCATGGGTGCTGGTCTCTCGGCAATTCGGAATTATGTTCCTAAGTTTGGGGCTGTTCTGGTACCCTGCCAGTTAATGATGTGTGGACAGAAGTTACAAAAGGAAATAGCATAACTCTGATCTTTTAAGGGGTCTTGTGTCTGATTGGGTGGTATTTATCCCGTTGGACACCAAAAACTGTGGTAGGTACTATACCTAGACTGTGTAATCAATTGGAATTTGTTAAAAGTGATACATACCTGGGTTTATAGATCCTCTTACGGGGTTGTGATTATGGTGGTATTACTTCTGAACCTAACAAATTGAGGGATCGTTTTTATATTTAAATTTGTACAATATCAGCGTGCTTCTGTTAAACTATTTACTATGAATTCTGTGAGATGTTAAGTCGTTCTTGTACGTTTGTGGTCAGAAACCTGCATAACATTGAATGTAACTTAGGGATTTGGCTTGTTGAACAGGTTGCGTATTTGATTAGATGCTAGCGTCTGGGTAGGTATTGTAGTTCTAACTGGAATAAAATCATATAGTGACATTTCTGAATTCCTTACCGGGGTTAACCGGTACCCTTTATAATGATATTAACCCCCGTGATGAAAGTTTTTTGGTTAAAGTTTAGGAGCTGGGTCCATGCTTATCGAGTATTATGTCTTAACTGGTGCATTGTAACTGCAATACACCCCTTCCGCCCCCTCGTTTGGAATCCCACAATTTCATTAACGTACCATGTATACTGAATTAGCGACAAAAATGTGACTGGTAAGCGAGAGAGTATAGATCAGAGTTCTGAAAGGACATGAAGTGACAAACGTAAACATCCATGGGTATTAGTGAGAAAATTAGGCCTGATGACTACTTAATTTTGTCTGTGTGACCCGAAAAACATGTTAATTGACATGAAGCAACAGATTTATGCATAATGAAAATATATGATGTCACAGATATAAATTCTAGATTTCCCGGTTAAACAATTAATCATTGTAACTTTTGTAGTCAAAAAGGTTGGATTATTGTGTAGTTAGCAATTTTTGACAGTAGGTGGCGGTATTGGTGTGCAACATAGTATAGAGCTTGTAACATGAATTGTGCAAAAATGAACTGCTATGTTTAGTTTGAACCGAATTGCAGGTAACTGTGTAAAGTTTCCTATGAGAATTACGGTGTTAGGAATTGGTGTATCATTTTTTACTGCATTTGTGCTTGTTTCATATGAGTGGGGTGACATATGTATTTGTTGTTCGTTCCTGACCCCCTGGTTGGTTGCTTGACACGTGTTCCCTTGTACTCATTGTTGCCAGGTGCTGTCAGCTGAACCGGAAGTTCATGAAGGTTTCCTGGGAGTTTAGTGGTGCTGGGAGTGACCGCGTTTGAGGCAGAGGACGGTAGTCCGAGGGCCTGCTTACTTGTCCGGACAGTTTCTCAGCTGCTGGAAAACCACGCGAGGAGCTCTTCTGATGAAGTGACCAATCGACGTCGGCCCGGTACGGAGGAAAGTTTATGTTTATAAAGTTTATCCCTTCTCACAACTCCAGGCTCCGCCTTCCCATAGATCTTACATTTTTATTAGTTTAGCTTTTCTCCATCTTCAGGAATATTCAGGAAGACTTGACACACTCAGTATAGCCAGTAGTAAGAACGCCAACGCTAGAGCTCTACAACTAAACAAGACGCACAAAAATAACCTAAATAAGGCCTATTTATTAGAATGAAGCCAGAGTTTTTCACTAAAGTGAGAATTGGAAATTCTAAGTGAATTGGACCCCTTAAGGACCAAACTTCTGGAATAAAAGGAAATCATGACATGTCACACGTGTCATGTGTCCTTAAGTGGTTAAAGCCAAAATAACCGAACTGGAAAAAGTCAGCTATGCTCAATTTTGGGAATAATGAGTGGATAGCTGAAAGAACAGAAATGTCCATATTTATTCTAGCCCGTAAGCTAACCCAGTGGTTCTCAATCATTTTAGAAGATGTACTCCTGTATAACAAATTCCCAAGTACCCCTATAGGTTAAAATACTTGATATAAACAGCAAACAGGATTCCTTTCTAGGGTGGTTAAAATATTTGCACCTGTATGCCAATGCAAGACTTTTAAGCTCCCTTTGCAATAATCCTTTTGCTGCTCACCTGAGTATCTCACATCTCCTTTCAGTATCTTTTCCAATACTTTTTAAAATCTTTTTTCTCACGCTGCTAATTTCCCTTCTTTCTTTCCTCAAGTTAATAGTTTCAGAATCTTTTTATCTAACTTACAGTGCATGTATCTCTATTGTCTTTCCCCTGATTTCCATCCTAATTCCCCACTATCCCACCACCAATCTGCATGTGTTGAAGGTTAGTTTTATAGTTGTGTATATGTGGGAGCCTGTTTGGTCTATACTATGTGTGCTGTATGTCAGTTTTGTTTGTGCAGTAAGGCGGTTTATGTGTGGGGAAGCTGTGCTCATTAAAAGAAAAAGAAAAATACATATCTGACATCTTATGGTGCCAAGAGTGCCCTGGTGCTTTCCTACTATAAACTACGATAGAGGGGCTGTGGGGATTATGATGCTTGAATTATTTCTTTACCTAATGAATTATCAAAATTAGGATTATCCAATGGTTGTAACACATTTTATTATGAGCAACCACAATGGGCAAAGCAATGTAAAACACTTTTTCATAGACAATTAAGCAGTCATCATAGATGTCACTCACAGGTCAGATAGCACTGAAAAGGTTAAAATTAATAATAATAATAATAATAATGAGTTTCCCACCTCTAGACTGATCCCCTTCCTTACCTTATACAGCAAACCACCACTCTAAGCACTGCAGTTAGTGACAAGTTACAATTTTATTTTTTATTTTTTGCTAGAGAGGGAGGGGAATCCTTAATGCACTAGGTCTATGGCACGTGAAATTTATGGTAAGTAAAATTCAGACAGGGAGGTAGTTTGTATATAACAGGAGAATCTGCAAAGCACTGGGAGAAAGTGCTTGAAAGTCCAAAGTCTGCTCCTGTCTCTCTGATGACTTATTACACAGGGGCAGTGTTTGGAAGCAAGAGCTCAATAGTGGGGAACAATGCATCGAAGTCTCTTCCACGTCACTGTTAAATACTAATTCAAGTGTAATTTCTAGCTCTTTGGCAGAGATGAGCTTGGAGTTTCCATTTCGAGCCCTATTTCATCAGTTTAACAAAACCCTGCAGTGCCAGAGGCTTTCACTACAGCCCCTAAGCTGGAGTGGTATAGTGCCAAGAGGTATACTTTTAAAATGTTCAGTGCTGCCTGTTCTGTTAGAGGAAAGTGCTGCTACCCATCTACTGTGACTGCTTTTAGATGCATGGGGGAGTTGGGGTACAACTGGAATACATTAAAGCAGAAATTAGATCATATCGCTGGGTGGGATCTTTGGAACAGAATAACCTGCAAAGGAACAAATACCACACTACATTATTTAATCCAAAAATAAAAAGGACTCCACAGTACACCAAACAGCCGTGTTTTGTCACCTTTACTTTTAATAAGCATAGTTTTACTTATACTTACATACATGGAATGTTGGCACAAATCTAAGCTGTGAAAACATCTATGTCACTCACAGTCTTTCTGAAGGTTTAAAGGCTTTCTTTTCCTGAAAATAAACATATTGTTAAATGCCTGAAACCCCCTTTTTAACGTTTTAAATCTGTCTGATGCACGTCATGCAGCCACATCCTGCAGCTATGTTCAAGTGAAAAAAATTTGCCTACATGAATTTGAATAACTAGCGTCTAAATCTGTGATGGGCACACTGCAGCTCTGCAGGTATTATAAGTTATGTTCCAATGGCAATATTTATGCCACCGTCATTGTTAGTGGTGAAAACTAGTGTGCAAAATGCTGCCATATCTCAGTCAAAGACAAGTTAATTGCCTTCCACTAATAGCTGGACAGCAACATAAAATGGCATCCTTAATTTTAGGAACTTTAACTAAAACATACACCTGCTATCTGTGTATAAATAATGTATAAGAATCAAACATGGATAAATAGAACAATTTCATTTGTTTCTGCAAAGTTTTCATCCGCCCAATTAAAAATTATTTAATCTAGTGCTGATGGTATTTGCATCAGTAGAATAGAAACTCATCTATCCATGAAACAGATTTTTGGAGAGATATCAAACCAATACCTCTCTGTGCATCATGTTTAGAGAGAAGAAAATATAAATATCCCTTGATTGGGTTTGTCATCATACATGCAGCAGGGGGCGCTGTGCATTTTTTTTTTCAATACACCTTGGTTTAAATACATTGATTTGTTTAACAAACATTTGCAACAACTACCAACATTACGGTTTATTGAATTACAACCAACTTTAATGTTTGCTACATTTTTCCTTTTTTTTGTGACTTTTACATTTCAGAACTCATTTGAAGGTGCACTGACTGTTATAAATGTCATAAAAATTCTCACTTTTCTTCCTGGCCACTTTTTAGACTTGCAGTATCCCATCCCATAAAGGCACCCAATGTTTCTCTTCCATCTTGGCCCACAAGGAGACATTCATTTATACACATAACAGTTACATATTCTTGACTGTGTTTTTTTTTTAAATGATGCGGAGAGGGGATTTAGCGCAGAATGAGCAATTAAGAGTAAACTGCAGAAAACACCCAGGAACGATCAATCATCTACTCGAGTGATTTCACTTAAAAGATCAATGTGTGTTACTACAAACGAGGAAATAGAAATTCAACACAGTCTTAGAAAAAGATAAATTGTGTAAAGAAAACAAATGCACCTTTTAATCTTAGATCGAGAAAGCATGAGAATAAATAGGCTTTTCTTATTTTAAAAAAAAGTGCCTCAGCTTGAAGAGTGAGTAGAGTTCTGGATTTAAAACTATCTAGTAAACTTTCCATAGCAGAGAACCTAGTACCATCAATACCAAAATAATACACAGTACGTTTTCAGTATTACAACTAAGCATGACATCTCAGCTGTTAGTAAGAAGGTGGCATTTTGCCAATGATGTTTAAATATTATACTTAAAAAAAATATCTACTCTTCACTATACATAAGGGAAAGATATAATATGGACTACATGTTTTCTTAGGGATCATCAAAGTCATTATGTTAAAAAAAAAAAAAAAAAAAAGATAAAGAACACTTTTGAGGAACATAAATATGCAAAGCAAAGAATACCCCGAACAGTAAAATACTGGGCTTTCTTTTGGAGAGATGTACAAGACACATAGAGATTCTAGACAATACAAAGGAGAAACGCTCTTTAAAAATATATTTATAAACTAAACGCAGTATTTTGCTACAACTGAACTTCTGAGATTTTATCATAAGCTTCCTGAAATGAACAGACCTTTTGCATTAGCATGCACTGGACAAGCAGCAATGTGTGTGAGCAGCATGCAGATGTCAGACTGCCATAACCTAACCCCACACAGCAGAGGTTTCATAGCCGATCACGACAGATTTCTGAGAGGAACGAGTACAATTAAAAAGTGAATGTGTATCACTTGTGTTATTTGGTCTTTTCACCATGACCGTGGCTAAGGCTGAATATATATATTTTTTTCAATTTAGCTATTAGTAACTTTCTTTTAAAAAAACACATTTCCTTTTACTGGAATACCGCTTTTAATCGCCTAACGAATTTGATGATCCCTACAGATCTCCTGCATATCAGAAAGAAGACAGTGAAGAAATGTGTGTAATGTTTTGGTGATCACTCCACAGTAAAATCCATTCATCTGCACATATATTCGGTCCAGACCCATTTTCCTGCCTTCACGATTTTTCGCATAGAGGCTTGGATTCGGCAGTCTCTTTGTCTTCGTTATCTTCCTCCTCGCAGTCACCTTCGTCTGTTTGCTGCTCAAGTTCCTCCCGTGTGATCATTTCAAAATCATTCCCGTTGCCGCTGCTATGTTGCGAACCATCATCTTCTCGCTTATCACTGTCCGTGTCCGATTGTCTTTCGGCACCGGATGCATCTGTGCCAGAACCCTCTGTTGCTTCAGCTTTTCTTTCTTCCTCTTCCCTTTTCTCACTGTCAGATTTATCCTCGCTGTCTGTTTTCACTGGCTTTCTGATCTCAGACTTTTCTTCTTTCTTCTGGTCGGTCTTTGGTCCTTTGTACTCATGTGTGTAAAGTGGTCGGAAGGAATCTATGAAGCCCACATCTGCTGTCAAATTTGGAAGGAACCAGAAGTGGTGTCTTCCGCCAGTCAAGAGCCAGATGATGAGGAAGAGAATGCACCTTGCTAAAAGCAGAACACACACAAAAAGGTTTAAAACAAAGATGTTATTAATAAGACAATATATCAGGCAATACAAAGCTTCAAAGTTATTCAAGTAAAATAAAATGTAGTGTATTTTAAAATCCATCCCAACTCTACATTTAATAGCTGAAACTTACCTTTCCTTCTACTTGAAGGATTTATCACTAACAGAGCTACTCACCCAAAAGTATGATGGAGGTTTATATTATAGTGGGTGGCACAGTGACCAAAACTAAATATATTAGGCCAGAACATGCATGCGGTATTCGATATTCTTAAGGTCTTAATCAGGAAGGGGCCTCTAGTGGCTTAAAATGCCCTAGAAGAAACACATCATCATTGTACTATAATACTCTATTTTAAGGGGACAGTATAGGCACCAAAACAACTTTAGCTTACACCAAGGTTTTGGTGTATAGATCATGCCCCTGCATTCTAACTGCTCAATTCTGTCATTTAGGAGTGAAATAATGATTTATACAGCTCTAGTCACACCTACCTGCATGTGACTTACACAGCTGTATAAACATTTTCTGTAAAGAGAGATCTAATGTTTATTTCTTCCTTTATTGCACATGCTGTTTAATTTAGAATTTATTATCTCCTGCACTGTTAACAGCTTGCTAGACCTTGCAGGAGCCTCTTGTGTGGGAATAAAGTTCAATTTACAGAGCAGAAGATAAAAAGTTTTAAAGTAAGTTTACATCTTGAAAATGATACTATTTTGTTTTGTGTCAGTCACAGCCAGGGGAGGTGTGACTAGGGCTGCATAAACAGAAAGAAAAGTGATTTTACTCGTAAATGGCAGATAATTCAATAGTGAGACAGCAAGGGCATGATCTATACACCAATACTGATCTTTAAGCTAAATGTGTTTTGATGCCTATGGTACCCCTTTAAGATGTCGTTTTGCTGCTTACACTGTCCCTTTAACTGTGTTCCTAAGTAAAAGTCCAATGGCACTTGAATGCAGTTTAGTATTGCTTACGTTACTCACACAAGTTCAAATCAAATATAAGACACTGATTTAATTTGGCTTGCTGAAGTGGAATCATTCTCATACAGCAAATAATATACAACCATTAAAACTATTTAATCTTTAAATACATATATTAAGAGTCTTGCCTGCTAATTGGTATAGGATTTAAACTTCTAATTTTGATTTCCAGTTGACACAGGGCTATAATGCAAATGGTGCGCATTAACAAGCAGCTTTCTGGAGTAACTCATACATACCAACAGCAAGAAGAAGTATACTGGCCACAAAACATCCCGCTCCAACACTCAGGTAATAAACCCCAACACGCATTTCAGCAGGCCACAGAGGAAACAGAGTTGCAGCGATCACTGCAATTACTACAACAGGACAAATACATTAGCATTCCAGTGTAGTGGATTAAAAATAAATCAAACTATTTCAATACAATCAGAATAGTCACTGGATAACGCATGGAAAAATCTCAATATATATGTTATTGTTAAGATCCCTCGGCATAATGTACATAATCAATCTGACCAAAGCAGTAAATAGTAGTGCAAAAAAAACACCTTTCCTTTTAGCACCAGCTCAGTTTGATTTTGCTGATGATTTTTGTATTGGCTATTTGAAAGAACAAATAAAATAGCAGGGGGTTTGGTCTCTGAGATATCAATATATTAGGAATGCATGTTCCAGCAGAGTTTGTTATTGGTACAATCCTACTATTGTTGGGAATTTTTATGTGCGTGAGTATCCTAACAAAAAAGACACAGGGAAAAAGAAAATGGCATTGAGATTGATGGATAAAATGTTTTAGAGTTTACACATTTAATGGATAAGAAAATAAAATTGTCTAAATTTTAAGAGACATTTATCCTGTGTGAATAAGCTAGCTATGCATCCAATGTTTTCAAAATATGTCATGCTATTGTTTTTAAAAATGGCACCATATAGTGTCATTCCAATGAAGTGGTCTGGGTGCCGTGTCACCTGCAACTGAACAGTGCCATTTTGCAGGATCTGCAATGTTTTCATTGCAGGGTAACATGCCTCTATCGTCTGTGACTCTGACAGCCACTGGAGACGCATCCACTCTAATAGAGTTAAAATCTATTTCAATCAGATAGTCTCATAGAGACCATTTCATTATCACAATAGCACAGAGTTTTGCCGCACTTGCGCCCCAGCCTTCTAATGATCTCTATCAAAGAGGCGTCTTGGTGACAGGCTCCGAGAGGTCTGAAATTTAAGTAATACTCGCCCTTCAAACGCTCACACAATGGTGTGGGTAAGTAGCAGGACAGTGTTTCCCTTTACCCATTTTCTACCATATTCATTTAGCTTAAATAAACCTAAGCAATGGCGTTTAAAGATAAAAAAGTACATACTAGAAATTTACCTTATTTGTTACACTACTAATCGTCTAGTAAGCTTTAATAATCAAATGGCTGTCTGGTAGGATCACTCACTTACCAAGGATGAGTCCCATAGCAAATGTCTTAAAATGGACTGGGTCATATATCCACACATAAACCTGAAATACACAAATGCACAATATATAAACAAATTCATCAAAATGTGCAAAGACGGTCAGAAGTATAGATTAAGTAATGATGTTCAGTTTTAGAAGGTGTTAACAGATATAGACAGTAAAGCAACATGGAATTGTGGCTCTGGAACAGCTGGGGATCTAACTTTCAGCCACACCTGGTTTAGACGCTTTGGTGGATTTCTAAGCTTAGCTTACATATAGGGCTGGGCAAAATGTCATCACCCATAAGCCAATGTGCATGTTAAGTTAAAGGAGAAGGTATTATGTATTAATAGGAGCTAAAACAATAGTTTGTGTCAGTCCTAATTAAAAAAAAAAAAAATTGACAATTAACATACTTGACAGCCATTCTTCCTAATTTAAAGAACCAACTTAAATCAACAGGGTAGATCATGAAGGCACGTGCCGGGCATTCATTTGCAAACAGGATCCTGTCATAAGTAATTCAGGACTGGTTTGCATGTGAACAAATGTGTGAATTTACAAGGAATAAAAAATCTTGACAATTTTGTTAACCTGTGAAGGAATTTTAGAAATATGACAAATATTGGAAAACAATGGAACAAACAACAATGGACCCCCACATTAAGTTTTTGACGTGTTCTCTCAAAATTGTACTGTATAAATGACCCCACGCCTTTCTCAAAAGTACACAATGATCTCTAAGGAAGGCATATGCACATTTTACAGAGCAGCCTATTATGATGACGAAATTACAGAAGTGAAAAAAACAAAAACAAAAAACATACTTTTGCTTAATTTAAACTAGCAAATGTTATTTTATAAAATATATATATTAATGGTTCCAACAGAAGATTTTCCTCTCAAACCTGTTTTGTCAACAACCTATTCTTATCCAGTTCTTGTACGTGCATCCAAGACTCACACCTGCAGGACTTGTCTAGGGCTGCCGCTCCCAATTTTGAGTCTCCCTATCTATTCAGTCCTTCAAAATTTCTTCAAAACCCCCAAACAACCATCCCATATCCAGACCCTTTGATTCCCACACTTCTCTCTGTGTATTGTTTGGCAAGGGCCCTTTTCCCCTACTGTTCCCGTATGTCAGAGGTGCTCTGTTAGAATTGTTTGGCTTGTTTTACCTATTGTACAGCACAGTGAAATATGCTGGCACTATGTGAATAATTGTAATAACTTATGGGGATTTTTTTTTTTTTGTGTCTGGATATTTAGAAAAATAAAATTCTACAACCATTGATGCAGTCATACCTCATTACCATCTAGAAAGACCTGGTCTTCATGTGGCTCCAACTTAAACTTTCTCTTGGTTTCTTTCTTCTTTGGGGACCCTGAAGTCTCCTCCTGTAAGAACAGCATAGAACAATTACTGCTAAGGAGAGAATAAACAACAGAAGAATCCAGGTCGTGTATACTAGGTCACGGGGTTCTATAAAACAACATAATGAGGGTAGAGGAAAGACAAACACAAAACGCCAAGAACAACTCTGCCGTTTTTGAACTACTTGCTGAGAGACCAGATGCAAAAAGCTGTGTAATTATATGTATATATAGTGTTGGCTATATCAATAAATGGATCATTTCCACAAGGTGAGCAAAAAAGTCTAGATTAGCTCTGTTTTCTCGGATTCCAATAAACTCTATGGACCTGGAGCCCCAAAATAAGCATAATATATTAGCAATATTTTGTTTATACCACAGAAAAGCCAAAATAATCATGGGTGAATAAAAAGCATTGCAACCCACTCGTTAGAAAGGGAATGATAATCACAAAGTACAAAGTGTAATAGTTGGTTACAGATTTACAGGACCACAGCTATTTTTTGCTGCAGAACACATGTTCTTTTTCTCAGAATACAAAGTGGGAATTTCACTGGTAAAAGGTATATGACTAACATACATGCCACGCACAAAGCGGCTTCAGATGCAGTGATGTACTTGCGGCAGTGCACAAGGTGAGGCACTCATTTATTCAATCTTTTCAAGAGGGGATGGCTTCTGCTATTAAGTGATTCAAATGTCACCTGTGATAATGACTTTACTCTTTTATTGGATAGGATATACAGACAGATTACGCAGGTGGCGCTATATGCATGATGGATTAACACAAAGTTTATCAGAGAAGCACTAGGATTGTTATACTGACAACCCACAGTACTCACTCATGCAAGTTAAGACATTCCAAGATGGCTAGCTATCACTCAACTCCTGCCCTAACTGTATAGAAAATGACAGTATTACTTGCAGACATATCCTCCAAAGCACAGTGCCAGAAAGCAAAGAAGGTCCATCCAAGTTTTGGATGACGTCATGGTCTCAAATTGTAATGATATTGAAAGTTTGTGATTATCTAATGAGTGGATATCAAAATCAAAAAAATTGTATTCTTATCCTTAACTAGATATCAAAAGGTGAGATGCATGGACAGTGTCATTGTCCAAAAAGCATAACAATAAGCTGAATTGGTTATGGTGCATAAAATGACCCCTTAAAAAGCTGCTTTATAAAAATACACCTCAAAGGATACACTATGCACCAAAACAACTTCAGTTTAATGAAGCCATTTTAGTGTATAGATCATGTCCCCGCAGTCTTAATTCTCAATTCTCTGCGACTTAGGAGTAAAAGGCAGCCCTGATTCACACAGAGTACATGAAAAATAATTTCATTTTCAATAAGATTTGACAGTACAGTGTATCTACTTTAGAAGTTTCTATCTCTTTAACTTTAATCATACACATAGCAGGCTCCTGCATGCTATTAATAGGAGATAAAAAATTCTAAATAAACAGACTGTGCAATAAAAGCAATTTAAACATTTGATCTCTCTTTACGGGAAATGTGTAGGGAGACTGTGTAGGTCACATGCAGAGGAGGTGTGACTAGAGCTGCATAAACAAAATTATTATTTGCAGAGAATTAAGCCATTTCACTGCAGGGACATGATCTATACTCCGCCATTAATCTAAAGTTGTTTTGGTGATTACAGTGTCCCTTTAAAGGAACACTCCAGACCCCAAAAGTACTTCAGCTTGCTGAAATGTTTCATGTGTGAAGTGTGTCTCCTCTTCCATATTTTACAAAAACTGTAGATTTCAATATAAATTTGCACTGTTATAATGTAAGCTTGCTACACCACCCTGGCTGTTTAATCAGACAAGGTCCTGTTACTTCCTGGTTTAGTCAGCTCAGTGAAGCTAAACAGAAGAGGTAGCAGTTGCTCAGAGCACCTTCCATCCAAACACTTCTCATTGGGAAGTCAATTATTGGACAGCAGCAGCAGGCCCTGGGAAGGCTTGCAAAGGCTGCAGACAAAAAAAGTGCAGGTTTTACAAGATGTTTTTGTATAAACCTCTAATTTAAAAATGATGTTACTGAGTGTGTATCTACTATGATAAAGTCATTTTTTTAGTTCATTAATTCTTTCTTCAATTGCAAATCCATTTACTATGCTCCAATATTTTCTTTTTACCTTTTTAACTTCCTCTTTTTCAGCTTCTTTTTTCTTCTCTTTCTCTTTCTTGACCTTTTCTTCCTTCACAACTTCTTTTTTGCTCTTTTTGTCCTCTTCCTTTCCACTGTCTGTCTTTCCTTTCTCCTTTTCCTTCTTGATTTCTTTTTCAGGCTTCATTTTCATCACTTTTAATGCACGATGGAAGAATTGTTTTTTCAGGAGCCTTAAGAAAAAAAATTAAACAATACATTAATCCGTTTACACACACACGTTTCACATAATGCTGCATCAGCCAATAGCTGACTGAGCATCATGTTATCTAAAGCACTGCCATTATAACTTTACAGTTACAGATTGGACGCCCGCCACCTAAATAATATTTTTAACACTATAGGGTCAGGAATGCACGTTTGTATCCCTGACCCTGTTGTGTTCCTTTAAGTATATTTACATCACAGTATGTGATTTAAACGAGGAAATGAAAATACAAGAAATCATGTGATTGCTTGCCCACAAATAGTGTCCAATAGAAAACCTATGATATCATGGTGATGGACTGCCTCTTACACTTTTGGCTAAACAAGAATAATTTTGTTGCGGTAAAATGAAAGAAATCCACGATGCAAACTTTCAGCACTGGAGGAAAAATCAAAATCAGAAAACTGCACAAATCACCATAATAGCTGCTAACAGTGCTGTTAGGGTCAAAGACATATCTAAAAACATGAAGGCGATGAAAGTGCTCTTGGCTATGAAAAGGAACCATATTTACTACAAAACACACAGTGAACACATTTTATTTTGTATTTAGGATTTCAGAGCCACATTTTAATTTAAAGTGACACTCCATTATAGAGATGGCCCATATCTTTTTTTTACAGATCACAGGATTGCATTACTTGCACCAGTACACATGTAGTTTATCTTTTAACATGTAGTTGTGGGATGCAGTGTGTGGGAAGAACATGTAGACCCCTTAAGATTAGATTTATGGAACATTGCAATAATATTACAAAGACCATCATTACACATTCAGTTACGATTCACTGTAACAACTGTCCTTTTAATTTTAAAACTTTCATATGTACAGGTATTGAAAGTGTATCACTTGACCAAAGAGGGGGGGATTTAATGATGAAACTCAAATGCAGAGAAGGATTTTGGATACATTCCCTCAAACGCTACATCCAGCAGGAATGAATGTAGATTTTGATATGGTCTGGTTTTTTTTTGGTTTTTTTATAGAGGACTATTTTTTATATGTATTCTATTCCTTATTTTATATATTAATCATTTTTTTACTATTATAATTTTTTTATTTTTTTTCATCAACAAGACATTTTATGCCTGATAATCCCCTCATATTTATGCACTACTTTCTGGGTTAATATGCACCCAATTTGTTGGTTCTATGTTTCATTTTATGCCCTTTTAAAAAATCATTTATCTTTTTAATATGTATACCTTTAGTATTCTACTTCATTTTCTATATTTTTTGTTCTGTTTGTCTTTGTATATTATGATAAGACACAAGTGGTTTTTATCCATTTATTCATTGTTTTGTTTGCCTGTGTTTTTTTTATATTTATAATTATGTACCCTCGATGAACATTGCCCGCAAATTGCAGAAGTTACGATGAAGCATTTTAAGTCCGCATTAAGTGATAGCGGGGGAACCGGAAATTACGTAATTGGACGGAGAATGCGGAAATGAGAGTTGGAATGCATCTAGTGTTCCCCGAAACCTTGGAAATTACATAATTTGACTTATTAAGCCAGATCGAGGCTTGATACGCAATCAGGAAGTACATCTGCGTGCACTCAAAAGGCGCCATTCCCAATTGGCTTATGGCACTTCGGGAAGGCGTGAAAACAGGCCTTCATTCAAACTACAGAATACCCTGAGAAAGTCCTGCATTGGATGAAACGAAGAGGGCTAAGAGACATCCACAGTGTTTTGTTTCTTTTGTACTATTATTATTATCTATCCAAATTGCTGCTGCACAATTCTCTCTCAAAGAACCCCACCAAGGTCCTGGTTCCAGAGTGATAATTTGATGCGCCTGATTTGGTCTTATCTTTATGTGAGGAAAAGAGAAAACAAGGTGGTCTTTTCACGCCACAGCTTATTTATGTGCCTATCATCAATTTTAGCTTTGTGAGTGCAATAATTATCCCACCCCCCTTTTGGTGATTTTACAATATTATGCGAATTGCGTTCTGTTCTGTTTATATTTTTTAGATTGTATATGTGCATGGGAAAAAATACATGCAAACTAAGCAGATTTGGAGAAATTCTCTAATTTGAACTATAGTTCGAATTTGGCTATTTTAGTCTTAATGTTGCCATGTCAATTTCAATTTGATAAAGTTAAAGAATAACCTTTTTTATTTTTTTGTAAATAGTCTTATGTACAAAGTAATTTAGTAATAATATATTTCCACAAATTAAAAACATGATACCGTAGGTATAGTAAACCCCCTTCCCTGCATGAAAAAAATTAAAATTAAATTACTAGAAATTATCTGCATATCCATTTCTGAAGAAGCATAATTTTATGAGTAGATGGTTATATGGTGTCTACATATGCAAGAATGCCTGTTTGCTTGAAAACACATAATGACTGGTCTGTCAGCCACTATCTTTATGTTGATGTGTGCATTCAGGAAATCTGTACCAACACCTTTGATTTATTTTTTTAAATAAAAATATAATCTTATGAAAAACTCATATGTAGTGTGTTGGAATTTGACTAAACCAAAACATGTTATAAGTCAAATAAGTGAATACAGTGTGTTATGCTTGTGATGCTTTAATCAGCTTCTGCTTATTGTTGCTTGCCATTTCTCATCAGCTGTCACATGGGAGCAAATCATGTCACTGTGTGTTGTGCAGTAGATGGCTGGTTTGGCATTTCAATGCAAACATCAAAGTAGGTCTATGTTGTATCTTGCAGTCAGATGACACCGTTCCTGGTAACCTCAAACGCCAGGAGGTGAAGACAGCAGAATTGAGTAGCCAGAGCTTAAATTAAATATACCTGCTTTCCCTTATCATCTCAGACTTCACCAACGTGTGTGGGATTAGATTTTTGAAATAAGAAGAAAACAAACTTGTATTCCCAATGCAAGGGCCCTAGCAAACAACGACTGCCCCTGAAGCTAAAAAAAAAAAAAAAAAAAAAAAAAAAAAAAAAAAAAAAAAAAGGGAAAGCAGCAGCAATTAACTAGCTTTATTTCACAAGTCATGTTAGTCTCCATGATCTCAGCCAATCCACCTTGCCAACCAGCATTTCCTCACAGAGGTATGTTCAATCAACGCATCTCTATGAGGAATGTAGAGCATGGAGACACTGAATGTGTCTACGTGACAACCACTAGAAGTGGCGATAGGAAGCAATGTAAACACTGCCTTTTCTAAGAAAAATCAGCATTCACACTACTCAACCTGCAGGGACAGGCTATTTGCCACAGAACAACTACATTAAGCTGCAGTGGTTCAATTGCCTATAGTGTCCCTATCACTGCAGACGTAAAGAAAACAATGAAAAGGTCAAATTAATTTTATGCTGTGTGTCCAAGCTTCCATTATTTACAATTAATTTTTTTTTTTAAATCATGATTTTCTTTTGACCATTTTTTAATCTTAACTTTGCTGTTGCTGTATTCATGTGAAGTCTACACGGCACATGAATGATGGCACATGGAGCTGACCATCACAATTCTCCACATGAGGCATCTCAGCCTGTAACTTATACAATCAAGTCAATTTTAAAGCTGCTTTAGTAACTCTAGGATGATAAACTTATATAAATGTTTACTTATCCAAATTTCCTTCAACCACACACACTGCATGCACAATGACGCTGGCACATCCACTATGTACACATAGATGGATAGTACCAGTTGCATGGTAGTTATGTTTTAAAATCCAAAAGAGGAGCAAAATAGTATAAACAAACATTTACTGAAATTCCAGATGCCACTGTTTGGTACCAGAAACAAAAGTAATTCAGTGGTCTCTTACCATGCATTGTTGCATTTCTTAGCACACGTACCTGTTGCAAAATTCAACCACAGACTCTCTGTTAGTGAATAAGGCTTCTTCTCCTTTCTTTGCTTTTGCCCATTTAGAGTCAAGAAGACAGTCGACTGCTTTGGAAGCTTAAAAAAAGGGAATAGTGGAGAATGTGTTTAGTGACTTTAATTATGACCATGAAACAAACATCAATACAGTTATTATCTATAGATGTATATAGAGCATAAACAGAGCAAGTCCTGCTTCTGTGATCAAGAGAGATGGTGGTCCGTATGGAAAGTTTGAACTTGGGTGCTCAATGGGTTCAGATGAACCTCTTATGCTAAATGAAGCTACAGAAATGCATCCAATCCTGAAAAATGTTGTGCCTTTGTGTAAGACAGATTAAATGCAGACACAGTTGGAGTACCATGGATGTCAATAAACAGTGGTATTAAATAAAAGCCCCAAATATAAAGATTTTAAAATAAACAGAGCTTAAAACATGTTACTAAGTTAAAGGATCACTATAGTCACCCAGTCCACTTCAGCTCAATGAAGTGGTCTGGGTGCCAGATCCCCCACGTTTTAACCCTGCAGCTGTAAACATAGCAGTTTCAGAGAAACTGCTATGTTTACATCGCAGGGTTAATCCAGCCTCTAATGACGGTCTTCCTGATAGCCGCCAGAGGCACTTCTGCGACGCTCAATGCGAAAATAGCATTGAGCACGCAGAACGTCCATAGGAAAGCATTGGGAAATGCTTTCCTATGGGTGGTTTGAATGTGCGCGCGGCTCTGGCCATACATGCGGCTCAACTCGGGAGCTGGCGTCGGAGGTGGAGGAGGGTTTTAATCCCTTCAGCCCAGTGGGAGGGGGCCTAAGGATTATATAGGGTCAGGAAAACAAGTTTGTTTTCCTGACACTATAGTGATCCTTTAACCCCTTCAGGACGGAATCAATAGTACACGTTCTGATCAAAACAAAACTTAAACAAAAACTGGAATTTGTGCTATGTCTGTTCAACCGTAATTCACCGCTGTCATATTAAGTGCACCCACACTTATTAGATATCATTTTGCTCAGGAGAAACAGGGCTTTAATTTATCATTAACTATTCATATATGGAACATAATTTATTATGAATAGAATTGAAAAAAATGTGAGAAAAGATTTTCTTTTTAAATTTGTATTTCTGTCTGACATTATAGCTGTGAATGTCATAATACTGTTAGGTTTTACTGCAAAAAAATGCACATATTTGTAATCAGCAATGTCTCACGAGTACAACAGTACCCCCCATTAACAGGTTTTATGGTATTTTGGAAAGTTACTGGGTCAAATAGAGAACGTTCCATTTTCACATTGAAATTTGCCAGATCAGTAATGTTACCTTTGAGACGGTGTGGTAGCCCAGGAATGAGAATTACCCCCATAATGGCATACCATTTGAAAAAGGAGACAACCCAAGGTATTGAAAGTGGGGTATGTTTAGTCTTTTTTAGTAGCCACTTAGTCACAAACACTGGCCAAAGTTAGCGTTCATATTTGTTTTTGTGTGAAAAAGCAAAAAACTAATATTTGGCCAGTGTTTGTGACTAAGTGGCTACTAAGAAAGACTGGACATACCCCACTTGCAATACCTTGGGTTGTCTACTTTTGCAAATGGTATGCCATCATGGGGGTAATTCTCATTCCTGGGCTACCATACGCTCTCAAAGTCAACATAACCAATTTGTCAAATTTCAATGTCAAAAAAATGAAATGCAAGCCTTATATGTGACTCTCTAACTTTCCAAAACACGATAAAACCGGTACATAAGGGGTACTGTTATTCTTGGGAGACTTCACTAAACACAAATATTAGTGTTTTAAAACAGTAAAACATATTACAACAATAATATAGTCCATAAAAGTGCCGTTTGTTTGTAAAAAGTGCAAAAAACGTCCCTTTTACTTAAAATATCATCGTTGTAATACAATTTACCAGTTTGCAACACTAATATTTGAGTTCAGCGAAATCTCCCGAGTAAAACAGTACCCCCTATGTACAGGTTTTATGGTGTCTTTGAGAGTTAAGGGGTAAAATATAGTGCTTGCGTATTTAAGATTACTTAAATATACACGTAGAATTTTAATATATATATGCAGTTATAGGTATTTAAATTCTATGTGTATACTAATGTAATCTTTTATGTAAATATATATATATATATATATATATATATATATATATGTTTGCGGTTATTTGTATTTTATATATAGATAGATATATATAGAATGTCATTCTAAGTGTATTTTGTTACATATATATATATATATATATATATAAAAAACAAAATACAGTTAGAATGAAATTACATATGAATATATAATATATAAAATTTTGTTTCAATAGTTTATTTTATTATTTTATTTATTATTGTAATTATACGTATCTATATATATGTGTATATATCTATTATATATATAATATAAATACATATATATATGTAACGTCATTCTAAGTGTATTTTAATACTAATATATGTACTTATATTAATATTAAAATACACTTTGTATGACGTTACATATATAATATATATAATAGATATACATATATAAATAAATTTCTATTTTATTTTAAACATGTTTAATTCTTTTTTTTTTTTTTTTTACTTTCCCACCAGCAGGGGGACTGTGACATTTCAGACAGTTCCCCTGCTGGCAGATCCACAGCCAGCTATAGGGGGCCATGCGATCGCTCTTTGAGAGCGATCACATGGCCCCCGGGGGCCTCATTTGCCGGGGGAGGGCTGCCCGGGCTGTCAGGCAGCCCTCCAGAAGAGGATCGCGGAGGAGGTAAGTACCTCCGATCTCCTGGGGGCTTCAGCCGTTACGACGTTCTATGCCGCCGCAACGGCTTTAAAGCCCTTTTAATGCGGGACGACATAGAACGCCGTTAAGGGGTTAAGAATGGCAAACACCGCATGGACTACATACACTAGTTTGATATACAAAATTTTTTTTTTTTTTTTAAATCACTATTCAGTAGATATACCCAAAAATGAAATATGCATTTAAATTAATTTTCTTTTCATGGTGGGTATATCTAAAGCCAGCTTGCAAATGCAGCAGCCCAAAATTACAAAGGCTGTCAAATCACAGACTTCCCAATAGAGCTCAATGGGAAGTCTCTGCAAGGCAGGTGCTCTGAGTAATTGCCTGCCTCTTGAGCTTAGCTCCACTGAGCTAAACGACAAGTAACAGGACTAATTGCTTGATTGCCAACAAGGGGGGTGTAACAAGGCTAATTTATTAAAGCGCCTACTTAAAAAAAAAACTGAACTTTTTATAAAAAAAGAAAATAAAAAGAGGACACACTCTTCACACATAAAGAACTTCCAATATGCTTTGTCATTCTAACTGCAGTGCAGCTTCTGTGACAAAAAACAGAATTCAAAGAGCTTTGATGAATCTCATTAACAGGGAGGGTCCAAAAGCATGTTCATCAGAGTTAAATTTCAACTTGGCAATGGCTAATGGTCGAGTGATAATTTTGAGCCCTGATAGAATATATATAATAGAATAGAAAACATTGGAGATTGCAAAGTCTGGGACAATTTTTACCGATGAAGTAATCGACTCTGTGACCCATCATATTAGTTGACTTTGAAGGGCAGTTGAAGCGCAGGTACTTTGCAATAGCCTTTTCATCTTTGGTTGGCTCACCAACTTCCTAAAATACAGCAAGAAAAAAAATCTTAGTATAGAGACATGAGGAAAAAAGTAAACTATAAAAGTAAATCTATATACAGTCATTTAAGAGGCATGCCACTGCCTAAATAAAAAAAATAAAATGCATTCAAAAAACTTTTTTAGGAGGGGCGGAGCCTGACTAACAAGTGGACTAGACGTGCATGTCGAGAGCTCCTGAGCCCGAAGCCAAGATTCTGGGTCTAACGCCCGACCACCCAATCACATCGACTGCTAAACGCAATAATCGTGACAAGGAGACTGCACTGCAACCGTAGATACCCGACACTTGGCTCTCCGGTGCTGGGTGGACCAAATCGTGACCTGCGGCCTGTGCGGGTGGGAGCCTAGGAGAGACGGCCGCTCTCCCGGTTCTCTGGCTGACAAGGGAGCACTCCCAAATCACCTCCCCCCCCCCAGATCGGTGGGGGTTATCCCGGTCCTCGAGGACCCAAGCTGCCTCAGTCGCGGACGCTTCTGTGAGCCCTGCAAAACTCCCTAGTCACACGGGAAGGGAGTCACTCAAGATAGCGGAGGCACCAGGCCCTACAACACGAGGTCTGATACTGCCACAACCTGTCTCAGCAGGCCCTAAGACCAATGTAACGGACACTCTGGGAGCCATAATCAACAAGTTTTGGGCCATGCTGCGCAACCGTGCAAGGCAAGCAACGACCACACGGGAGCCCGATAAGGAAGACCGTGTAAGCAATAAGGAGCGGCCTGGAAGGCCTCTTATGGGCCGACAGCTACCCCACACTACTCCGACTACACTAAAGCGACGGAAGCCGCGGAAACAACACTACCGGCTGAGACAGCGAGCCGCGGACAGACGCCCTGCCCACGGCTGCCGTGAAGTACCGAACCCCAACATACCACCACCTGTCCTGGGCTACATGGAGAAACCACCACGGCCACCTCTAAGCCGCTCCCCAGGCCGTCCGGGGCAAGGCATCACCCCACCAAACGAGAGAGCCGCTGCCTGGCGAGTCACCACCATGCTGAACAGTCCGGTAAACCCTGTGGGCATAGGCTGAAAGGGATCAACCCGAGTGACATGTGGAGCTGGGGCCACCTCTATACAATTAACCTTTTCACGGGACATTGTAACAGCCAGCAGAATATGGCTCAGATATCCACACTCAGCGTGTACATAGTTCATACTGTTGTTTAATTTTATATGTACCAGCTTAGCCATGTTATATGATTTCTTAAGCACTTTCCTTTTCTTGCATCGCTTCAACTTGCATAAGTGCCCATAACCTCTCTCAGCAGGATTAACCTGCGATTAGCAGCCTGCCATTGAATACCCCACTCTGTGTCTGCTTAGGTTTGGATAATCTACATCAAAGTAAATAATGCAGTAACTCAGACATGTGATGTACTCTATTAGCTAATATCTTGCAATGTATAAGATTGTGTTTCATAAGCCTAGCAGGAATAGCACCCTAAGTCTGAACACAAATGTATGAGCCCAGCCCTCAGAAATGCTGGACTCACTGTCTCAGCCACCACCATGCCACTAGTTTATCCAGAAACAATAGCCGGCCGAAAAAAAGGTGTTAGCCGAGCGGGCCCACACAAGCCCTCTATTGTACAGCATGGCATAAAGGCGATGCAGGATTGTTTTGATGCTCCCAAACCTGAGGCAGAGCTAGGTAGCCTAGCCACACGGATGTCTTTGGACGCCATTTAATATATAGCTAACTGTGGCGGTAAACGCGGGCAGATACTGGGTCCTCAACCATGCAAAAGCGCAGTCATACCGAATATTAATGTTATACTACTGTTGTTATACAAAAATGTGCTGATTATTTTACTGCTCCTACTGTTATGCTTGAAAATATGCTCAAGGAATGCTGTTGTGGCGCCACGAGCTTGCATGTATTTCTCTCAACGCACAATAAAAATAAAGAATTTAAAAAAATAAAAAAAACTTTTTTAGTAGATATACCCCAAATGAAAACCTATTTAAAAACATATTTCTACAGCTGAAGTTCTTTTGCCTGATGCCTTAGCAAACCCTCCCCTTTTAACCCTGTCCTAACTTTCTGTGGCTGTCCGATCAAAGACTTCTCAAAGCAACTCAATGAGAGGTATTTGCAAGGCAGGTGGCCTGCCTCTTGAGTTTAGCTCCACTGAGCAAAACAAACCAGGAAGTAACATGACCTGGTATTTGATTGACAGCCAGGGGTTGTATCCAGGCTAATTTATAAAATTTTACTTCACTTTCTATGGAAATCTGAACTATTATATAAAAAAAAAAAAAAGACTTCACACAAAACATTTCAAAAAGCTAAAGAGGTTTAAGGGTCCGGAGTGTCTCTTAGACCTTGTAGATAAGGCATCTGTGCACAATAAAATATTCTTAAATTCTAGCTTTTCCCATATGTAAATATCAGGTCTCCCTTAGCTTAGTTCACAGAGACATCTTGTTTACTTCTCACCCACACCCTCTTAGCTATGCACTGTATATTAATTATCGTATGGTCCTCCTTGGACTTAGTTACACATTCATTCTTTCATATCACTTCACTCCATCTACACCTGAAGTTGTCACTTTTTACAATCATAGTAATAGACCAACTGTACCTTAGCACTTTGGTATTACATGTTTATAGCGTCCTATCTCCATGGAGACCAGGGCGCTTTGTCACCACGCACTGAGGTAGTCACGTGTCCCGCATGAGCACTTCCGGGTTCGGGTACACAAAGGATCACGGATTGGTAAGTCACTTAATTCTTTTCTTATATATTGCTATCACCTACACTACACTTTGATCTTGAGAAAGACCCCATGAGGGTCTAAACGTCGATCGGGACTGTTTGTTCGTTATGTAAAGAAGACATCTAAGTAAATACCTACTATTTGAAAATTCCCTTGAGTGCGCCGTAATTTTTCTTTTTATATCTATATTACGTGGTTTGCACCAGGGTATAATTATTATTTGTTGTATGTAAAGGTGAGTGCCAAGCAGCCTGCATATATTATATATATATATATATATATATATATATATATATATGTATTTATATACACAGGAACAGCTAAGATATGGCGCAAAAGTATGAGAAATATACAAAAAAAAAATGTATGCCACCCAGGAGGGTTGAGAAAATCATTATATAAAAGTAGTTTTTCAATGCAAACACTGGCATTTCAGATAAGCTGAACATTCCTCATAGAGATGCTTTGATTCATTGCATCTTCAATGCATCTCTATGAGAGGGTGATGATTGGTGCAGTGGTTTGTTGTGCATGCGCAATAGTTTTTCAATGCTTTCCCCTATAGGAAAGCTTTAGATTACCGGAGATAAGCAAGACTGATGATCTCAGCCATGGAAGCGGGGCTAGCAGTGGTGAGATCAGCGAGGCGAGGGAGAAAAGGTAGGTTTAAAACCTTTTCAAATAGATATGATGGGAGCCCGGGAGCTGTTAGTTTAACAACAGTGTTATGAATACTTCTTTGAATGCCTGACACTACAGTGTTCCTTTAAAATTTCATGTCCTATGCTACTAGCCAGGCCCTAAAAGTGACTCACTATTGTAAGTCTAGAGGATCCATGGCACACTTTCCAGGGGTAAATTTCTACTCACTACGGCGTAGAAACTTTGTCTATATATGTATACACATCTAGCAATATCGTCATCTATTTCTCGCTCATACTTAGTAAAGTATAATGCATGGATCACCTCCATGCAGTCTGCAGTGCCTAATCTTAGGCAGAACTGAGGAATAAAGGTCCCAGTCTGCCTGAGATTAGTGGGCGTTACACTCATGATTGGCAGCAGATGCCTGGGGCTGTACCTCCCACTAATCTCAGGTAGGACTGGGCCATGTGATATCACATTGTCCCTAGCTGCACTCCCTTCCCCCTATACTATTTTCAGATAAAACCAATGTCAACCACACATAATTAGAATGTATTTATAAAGAGGAAAATCCCACAGCACTACACAATTTGTAAGTACAAGGCAAACATTAACAAAGTACAACTAGGACCTACTAGAACAAAAGGAATGCAGGAGTTTAATATATATCAAGACTGTTAGAATGAGTCATGTCAGTTTACGTTGTTTTCCTGCCTCCTTATACACAGAAACCTGCCAGTGATGAGAGGTTTGAAGGAACACTCTAAGCACCATAACCACTACAGCTTGGTCTAGTGGAAATGCCCTACCAGCATTGACAAACCATTTGCGAACAGATTGACAACTGAACTGTGACTACAAGCACGATAACCAATTCAATCAGAATACAGTATCCCTTTAATAGAGATAACTTGGAAGCTGGGGAGACAAAACTGGGAGAGATAATGGGGGGTGGGAGGGGGAGAGTGAGATATTAGGGATGGCTGAAGAGAGATAGTGAGGAAGCTGGTGATATGTTATTGAGAAGGGAAAAAAAAAAAAAAACTAAACCTGCATTGCTCACACACAAGAACACTGATATAAACACACACATTGTATTCAATGGAGACATAGACCCAAGTGGACACTATATGCACACATAAACACAGGAATACCAACATACATATACTGACAATGCACACACATGGGAACACTTACATACATAATATTGCACAGACAAAGTAACAATACGTACAAATAATTAAAGTTTCCTATCATAAGAAAGAATAATAAATTACATTTATAACATTATGTGAAGTCATATGCGCTCACAAGAGTGTGTGTGTGTGTGGCCACTCCCACTTCTATGTACAATTCCACCCTCCATAACAACTGAATTTGACACCCCTGAGCTAACAATTTTAGTCTTATGAAAACATGAAGCCAGCAACATCTTTCTAGTAACTTTCTTTCACACCTCCATGAAATAACAGTGTCAAATTTATGCCTTAATCTCCACCCTTTGACCAGATTGTCAAGTGTAGGACAAATACACTAGGCAAAGCAGTTCCTTACATTGTCTTATGTTTTAAAGCAAAATAGATCAGAAATGAAAAACAGATTTTGAAAGAGGAAAACAAGAGGTACGTTTGAGGTGGTCGAGCCACTTGTAATATCTATAATAAAGCCTGCATTATAGTATTGGTTTTGGTGAAGGATGATTGCAATTGTTTACAGGTAAGGGTTATATTCTGTATCCTGCTGTCCCCAGCTGGGGAGGAAAGGTAAAGGAATAGTCAGACCATATGAAATAAGTGAATCCAGATAAACAATTTTAGCTAGGTAAATACTGATCTCACTGAGATTTTGCAAATACTTTCCATAAATCATTAAAGTGGCTATCAGCTGCTGGTGCATATTTTGCTTAGACCCTCCCCAATGGTTTCATCGCCACTTGGTGTGTGATGGCCCATGGTTGCAATGGTGGTGAGAAAGATATATATCTGAAGCTGTGCCCCTGGTGTTGCTGGTACCAGGAGTACAAGTCAGTGTTGTAGTTTCGTGCCTGCGCAAGAGTCCAAAATTGATATCTACGGAGGATCCAGCTAGTGACGGCTGGGAGCAGAGACAAAACTTGACAGCCATAGCTCTGCCCTTCGTCAAGTGGAGGAAAAGTGCATTAGACAAAGTAGTTTCTAGTAGTTTTATCTTATGACATATTTTGAGCAATTTTTATCTTTTTTTTCCCCCCAATGCAATTCCAACACAGAACAATTCCAATTATTTCATGTTTATGAAATGCTCAATGTATTTATTTATTGGAGCCAGGGGTGAAAAACCTACATCTAACAAGGGGGACTTCATCTATCTAATAGAGAAAAAAGTATAACAGGCAAAGGAACTGAAGGAGATTGACAAATAAAAATACAAAGCTGTGTGAGAAAAAAAAAAAAAAAACCTGCACAGTAATACAATTTATTTAATTCTTTTCATTCGATGTGCAACATTACAGGGTATTTTCAGGAGAATGCTTGCACATACATACTGTAACAAATATAGGATGCAGAACACAAAGTCAAAGGACCTCAAGAGGTTGTGTATTATGAACTGAATGAGAAAACGCGAGAGGAATATATTTAGAAAAAGTATACGAAACAGAAGAGAAACAGAAGAGAAACAGAAGATGTAAACAAGTAAATAAACTTAAATTATGTTACATATGGTTAAACAAGGTTACTCAAATTTAAAATGAGACTAACGAGATTTAAATAATGCCATGCCACATTATAAAGAAATGAATACATGGTAGAGGGCATTCAGTTGGAAAATGAGCAGTGCCATGGATACCCTGATCAAAACAGATCTTTTTATCTTAACTCTATTAATTTCCACCTCTATGAAGTGGTCTGCGTGCAGTGGTCAGTAGCTGACCCTACCTATAGTGTTAAAATAACATGGCTAACAACATATTTTTATTTAGTGTGGACTCCATCCATGTACCGCCTCCCTTGACTGAGGTCATCAGAATTGACAAAATCACCATTACTAGGTTTTCACGTAGGAAAGCATTGAGGCTCATGCGCACACGGAGCAAAACTCTGTGCTGTGCCAATCAGCATCTCTTCATAGAGATGCTAGGAATCAATGCATCTCTACGAGGAACATTCAACGCCTCCATGAAGAGCATACAGCACTGACCCAGGAATCGTCTCTAGTGGCCACCTGAGTGACTGCCACTAGAACTTGCTCTAGGCAGCAAAGTGAACACTGCCTTTTCTCTAAAAAGGCAGTGTTTACATTAAAATGCATGCAGAGGCAGGCAGTAGACACCAGAACCAAAGGAAAAAAGTTACCTGCGCTCTTTCCACATCTCTATTTTTTTAAACAAACTGAGGTTTTAAGTTACCTCCAATGGCCATGAGAGGGTATGCCCACCTGCCACATCAATGCAAACCTCTTATGTGGGTCCTAACTATAACCATTCACGTTGCTTCCTTGAGCTTCTGGCAAAGATATCTCTAATGAGACAGAAAGGAGTATTTTTTATATACATCCCTACATGCTTATTAATCCTTAATAGGGAACACATGGGATGGGCAGCAGCATTGTAACCTAGCTGTGTGATACAAAAGTGAATACAAATACAAAGAAACAAGTCCTGCGCTCAAACTCCCATTATTATGATATTTATATAGCGCCATCAAATTCTGCAGCGCTTTACAATGGGTGGACGAACAGACATGTAGTTGTAACCATTACTCCTGGGCGGCAGCAACGACCATAGTACACATCAGCCCAAATACATTAAAAAAAGTTACCTGCGCTCTTTTCACATCCCTATGTAATTTTTAAACCAATAGTGGGTTTTAGTTACCTCCAATGGCCATGAGGTGCTTCTGCTGCATGTACCAAGTAAAGCTCAATCACGTAAACTCACAGGAAAGCATTGGAAGTAATGATTTCCTATGAGAAGCATTGAATATTGTGTATGCCCATCAGGTCCCCAGTGCTTCTCTACAAGAAGCACTGGATTGGACAATCACAGAAGGAAGCTATGCCTCCTCGATGACATTTGGTGGCAAGGTGGAAAGCTGAGCAGCACCAAGAGAGCCTTGGCGCTGGAAAAAGGAGAGTAAAAACGTCATTTTATAAATTTTACTGGGGGGAAATAAAAGGGACACACACACATATACATATATATATATATATATATATATATATATATATATATATATATATATCTAGTTACAGGGGCACTATAGCATTAATAATACAAGCTTTTATATCTAAATCTATAGTGTTTCTTTAAAGGAAGCTCTTGCTGTGAATAAAACCAATTTACAGAAGTTGTTTGGGGAAAATATATATATATAATGAAGAATAACCAGTAATTTATTTATTTTTTAAATTTCTCATTTTTCCCCTTCACTGCCTGAGGTCATAGCTGGGGTCGTGGATAACATTCTGGTGGAAAGCTCATGGCCCTTATCCAGCTTTGTGACTTCTTTCAATAAAATATTGTCCCCATAGGACACAACTTTAAGAAGGTGTGAATGTTTGTCGTGTTTTTAATCTTCTTTTCTCCATCCTTTCCCTCCTTCTAATGGGGAGGCATTACGTTGCTAAGTTTTAAACTGTAATGAGAACCATGAGGTGCCTGCACTGCCTATCTCCGAATGACTTACCAAAGGCTGGCAAACCTTACTTAGTAATTTAAATTGTTTCTTGACATGTTAAACGTTGGGGCTCCTGTTGCCCAGTTTGCGTTTCTTTTTTTAATGTTGTTGCATGTAAAAACACATCTGCTGTATTATTACAGCTAAAAATACAGAATTGAAAAAATAAATTAAATTCATGTCCACTGTAATGGCTAAATTGCCAAGAGTACCCAGACGCCTACCCTGGGTTAGTCACCAGAATGTTAGCCATCTTAGCCTGGGTTGCACTCTGCAGTGGTCTCAGGTCCACAACTATAGCTGAAACTACATAGGACACTTGTGGCCCAATGACCACTACAGAAGTATGTAGTGGTTATGGTGCTTGGAATATTCTCTTCAATGCGTACAAGCATTTTCAGTTTTAAGGTCTCTGTTTGGCTTATATGTCATAATTATACTTTTATTATATTATGATACATTCATAAAACACCCCAGTGAATTATAACCAATTTTCCAAAATGTAAGCTAAAATAGCTGATTGGGAAAAATTCTCAGCAGTACAGCATAAGTAATTTTTGCAATGTTATCAATTCACTACAATTCTGTGGATAAACTCCACTGTTTGTACGTCTTATGATGAAAGTGAAATTGAGTCATGCTTTCACTATTCTCAGCTGAGACTAATGTAAGACTTCAGAGTACAGCATATAAAACATTAAAGGACCACTATAGTGCCAGGAAAACATACTTGTTTTCTTGGCACTATAGTGCCCTGAGGGTGTCCCCATCCTCAGGGACCCCCTCCCGCCGGGCTGGATGGAGAGGAAGGGGTTAAACTTACCTCTTTCTCCAGCACCGGGTGGAGAGCTCTCCTCCTCCTCTTCGGCTGAATGCGCATGCGCGGCAGGAGCTGCGCGCGCATTCAGCCAGTCCATAGGAAAGCATTCACAATGCTTCCTATGGACGCTGGCGTCTTCTCACTGTGAAAATCACAGTGAGAAGCGCGGAAGCCCTCTAGCGGCTGTCATCGAGACTGCTATGTTTATTTAAAAAAAAAAAAAGGGTTAACCCTAGCTGGACATGGCACCCAGACCACTTCATTAAGCTGAAGTGGTCTGGGTGCCTATAGTGGTCCTTTAACTTGCAAAGGTCAATCATTTTTTGTATATCAACAACTGTATAACTTTATAATATTGATTGTGTAAAAAAATGCCCCATGACTGATCATGGGAAGCACCAGAATGTTATAAATTGTATCTTGGCATGAGCAATTAGACAGAGTCAATGCCAATACCATAAACAAATCAAAACACTAACCCTTTAATGTAAAGGAACACTATACGTTCAGGAACACCCAAACATGTATTCCTATACTGTTAAGATTGCCCCCACTCCGCCTTCTTGCTGACATCCTCATAATGTACGATTTTTAGCCAATATAAGGAAAGCATTGGATTGGCTGAAATCATCAAGAAGGCAGAGCCAAACAACGTTTTGGCCAATCAGCACCTTCTCAAGGAGATGCATTGAATCAATGCATTTCTTTGAGGAAAATTCAGCGACTCCATGCAGAGCGTGGAGGGGATGAACGGCAGCACTGCTTCAGGAAGCACCTCCAGCAGCCATCTGAGTGATGGCCACAGGAGGTGTCCCTAGGAGGCAATGTAAACAGGGCATTGTCTCTGAAAAGGCAGTGTTTGCACGAAAATGCCCGAAGGGAAGGATTATAGTCACCAGAGCAACTACACAAAGCTGTACTTGTTCTGGTGACTATAGTGTCAAAGGAGAGGTGTAACAATATAACTACCATAGCTCAGGTTAATGGTTATGCTGCCAGCAGTCTATCGACACTGTCCCTCTTTTTTTTTTTTTTGGGGTTAAGCCATTTGGAGTAGTTTGACAAAAGCACCCTGAGAAAGCCCTCTCTTTAACCAGCATGATCATGTGGATTTTAATCCTGGCATGTTCCAAACAGTAGAGAGCATAATAGGAGCTGTTTTCTGCAATGATCCCTATGCTGATCACTGTGTTTTAGCAAGCGGGAAAATCACAAAACAAATCATATTGTGCTACTCTCTCATCACATAATTCCGCAGCAGAGATGGATATGTAATCTATTGTGTACAGCAGGCAAATCCATCTGCTTTGGATAAGTGTAGGGCTAATGCACTTAGGGCTATATGACTTTTATGGGATAAATTTGAAGAACTTAAGGTTAGTGGATGTTAAAAAGATGCAAAAGTAAACCCATATTAAGGATCAAAATACAGAATGTGAGATACTAGCGAGTGTTTACAGAGGTTTTGCATGTCCCATTGAAATGCTTGCTACATATGCTCCTGGATTGCAATAAAACACTAATTTACAAAAAAAATGGCACCATTGTAAAGCACAAAATACATCAAGCGGTCAGATCTGTACTTTGGCCTTGAAATTTCACAAAAGCCTGACTAAGGTATACATACCGGTAGTGCGGTAGATGTAGCGAGGCACAATGTATTTTTACTGCTGTATCATATGTCAAGTTTACACAACACGGCAAAAATGTCATGCTGTATTTGTAAGAAAAACACAAATAATATTGGTGTTTATTTATAAAAAATGTGTTCACATGCTAGAAAGTGTCTTCTTTAAAACCATATTGATATGTATGGCAATTTTGGTTTCTGTAACCTCTGTTAAAATAAAGATGTTAAATATTTCTCAATTAATTGATAGAAGCCATATAAATTGATTGCTCGATCTTACCATTGCACGTTCACCCTTTACAAAGCCTTAGCCTGCCCAGTGTGAACACACCATGCAAGTATTTGTACAGGTAGAGAAGGAAGTGTAGTTTCTTTCTCTGACAAGAACTGAAGTGGTCAGTTTATAAGTGGCAATTCTTTTTTGCAAAACCACAGTGGTTATGAGCAATTTTGCAGGGTAACAAAGACAGGGGAAATCCTCAGCACGAGCTGTTACATGCAGTATCCCTGTAAAGTAATATGTGTTTCTGAATAAACTGGTGAAATTTCCATGGATACTCCATGGGATTTGTTAACCCGTTCAATAGAGGCAGCCCAGCAAGGGAGCATGGAGATGGCTCAGAGAGGGAGCTGTTATCTTCCTACTCTCCTTGCTCTGCTCCCTCGCACACCCTGCAGTGATGCTGGGAGCCGGGATATGACGTTACTCGGGCCACGACATCACTAAACAGTGCTCTAGGTGATATATATATATATATATATATATATATATTAACTCACATTGTTTTCCATGTCCTGCCTGTCTTCCTGTGGCTGACCTGCCTCCATAGCTAAGATAATCAAGATTGATTATCTTAGCTAAGGAGGCAGGTCAGCCACAGGAAGACAGGCGGATGAGGAGCGTGGGCGGAGCTGAGCAAGCGCCGTGGTGCATTGGCGCTTGACCCAGGTAAGTGACTAACCCCTCAGTGTCGCTGGAGGGGGCCTTGACAGAGAGGAATTCTCTAGTGCCAGGAAAATGCATTTAAGCTGTAGTGGTTCTGATGACTCTAGTGTCCCTTTAAGAATTGCATTTTTGTCGTTGAAAATTAAGCTTTGTTAAAAAACCTTGTTTCTAACCTTTTTGGCTGGCTGCTAGATTCCAAGCAAATTTGTCAAACTTTGACTTATGCCTTACATTTCTGAGTATCCCTGTCCATGATAGTAAAGTTAAGATCTGCAGTTATCTTTACTACATTTCCCACAATGTCTAACCATCATTTAAAAGTAAATTCCCCATAGTGCTCTGACATCAATCTGATGATCTCAGCCAGGTAGACAGAGTAGCAGCATGTAGACCATCGCAACACACTATTAAAAGGAAGTCTAGTTTACCTTTTAAACCTTTGGCAAGGGAAATGGGCCCCTACATATGGCGTTTGGAATACAAACATGTATTTCTACCGCTTTAATCTTTTGTATTAAAAACTGATCCATTGACATTGAAAATGCAATTCCAGTTTTAAAAATTAAAGAGATGCTTAAAAATGTGGTTTGTTTTATCTCTTTACATCTTTAGGCTTACGGACACAAAACCAACACATATTGTAGATATGTCCCATATTTGCACCAATGCAATTTCATTAGCTCAAACAGCTGCTTACACAGTGAAATGATAGCATCACCACAAGCATTTCCAGCTGTTTTCTGTGAAAAAAAAAAAAAGGGGAGGGGGTGGGGGGCGTTTCCTGGCTTACTTAAAAATATTAACTGCATAACGACAACGTCTTTGTAGCTGTAACATCTCTATGCATTCATTGCTGTAAAATAAAAACATTTACAAATCAGTGGACAAAATCTTATCCACAAATCAATTGAAAAATTAATCTGTTTTAAATTTCAAATTTAAAGGGACACTAGAGGCATCAAAACAACTTTAGCTCAATTAAATGGACACCCAGACCACTTCAGCTCATTGCGAGGGTGTCACTAAAGAATAAGAATACAATTTTATATTCCTAGCCTTCAATTTCCCTTTAAGCAGTTTTGGTGTATAGATCATGCCCCTACAGTGTTAGGGGGGTTGAGTTCTACTTACCAGAACCTGTCTCTCGCAGACACAGCCATACTTTTCCCACTGGTCCTCTTCTGCTCCTGGCGCTTCAGCTACCAGAAGCAGACACTACTGCGGTACTCTTGTGCATGTGCGAGAGTAAAGCATTGAGTAAAAAGTGAAGGAGGAAATCGTCAAAATACAGTGGAATATCAGAACTCGAAAGTTCCCTTTCTCAAACAATTCGGAAGTCGAACTAAAAAAATTCTGCATAAAAAATGTCTTGATCCTAAATACCCAAACACATCACCCGGCATTCACAGAGGGACACAAGTGTGGGGAAGCATGGGATACAAGTGTGGGATGAGGTAATATGGGCAGATGCACTATGTAAAAGGGTGAAGGGATATGGACAGAATTATTAGGCAAGGAGAAATAGGAAAATATGAGGAGAAGGATACCAGAGGACAAAGGGACATGAGTAAGGGAAGAGGAACTATGGACATAAGGATACAAGTAGAGGAAAGAGGGGTATTAGATATTTTGAACCTGATACAGCCATTTTATATGCTTTTGCATGTAATGCCATAAGAACAGTTACCTATCCCCATCCATGTAATTTAGGGGGTCTGGAACAGATTAAACAAATTTACATTAATTCCTATGGGAAATGTTGACTCGGTTCTCGAACAAATCGGAACTCGAACAGCCTTCTGGAACTGATAAAGTTCGAGTTCTGAGGTTCCACTGTATGGAAAATTACTGGGAGAAATTAGCTGACAAAGGAAGTGGAGCTTGCTTAAATGCCAACCAGTGTCTATGAAAGTCAGGCATAGGAAAAATACATAAATCAAAGTAGCCCTTTACTTTATCTTTTGTTTTTAGTTAAAAATTGACTTAAAAAATGTAAAAAAGGAAAATAAAGAGAGTACGAAAGAGGAAGAGAAGAGGAAACATTGGAAAAGGGTAAATACGGCGCTAAAATTCTGCTTTAATAGCCATCTACACCATGCAGGAGCTTCCTGTACGTGATTAAAGATGAATTTACAGGGGCAGGAGATAAAAACTTCTAAAGCAACTTAACATTTGAAAATGAAACCATTTTTTTCATGCAAGATGTGTAAGTTTCATCTGGGGAAGTGTGGCTAGGTCTGCATAAACAGAAACAAAAGTGACAACTCCTACATGGCAGAGAATTGTGCAGTGAGACTGCAGGGGCATGATCTCTACATCAAAAAAGCTTCATTAAACTAAAGCCATTTTCATGCCTATAGTATATCCCTTAAAACTAAAAAGAAAAAAAAACATTCTAACAAAAATGCAATTTGAGAACTAATGTAGTTGATCAAAGAACATTCTAATTTACTGGGGTGATACATTTATTAGCGACTGAAAGGAAAGTGCAGACAAATCAAGTCCCTACAAGCATGTATGCAACACAAAAAGCTGACAGTTACACTTGCCAGAATACCGGCACCATAGCAAAATTAGAAAAATAGAAAAGCTGTTTAACTTCAAAACTTTGAAAAACAATTTAACATATATGTGAATGCTATGAAAACACCACCAGCAGACAACGGTTATAAGTAGGGTGGATAAAAGCGACTTTTTTTACTACAAAAAAAAGTAAAATATATTTATGTAAATAAAATTTCTTTTGATAAAACACTTTTGATGGAAACATCTAAAGATAATTTTACATTATAGTACAAAGGTTATTAAGCATAAGATATGGATTAGTAATGCAGTAAATAGGTTTAGTAAATAGCCTTTCTATTCTTGAAATATTTGTCATTTTTCTGTACCAATTTAACGTGTCTGCAGCGATAATATGCACTTTTTAATAAGGAATAGATCCTTCCTATTCAAAGGTATATTTATTTCATCTCTTAATATATATATTACCAACAGATCCATTTGTACTTCTCTAATGATGAACACTATTAGCACAACGTGAATAAAATAGATCCAGGAATTTCCATATCTCTCATATTTCAATGGAAATGGAACATGTTACAGAACATGTTACTAGTACTATGTATCCACTAGTGTTGACTAACTCTTGGCACCCTAGTCATTGTGAGATTCCTTACAGAACACCATGGGAAGAGTAGTTCACAGTATCTACGGAAGGGGTGGGGAACGTCCGGCCCGCGAAAATCATTTAGACTGGCCCATGGAGAGCCCTGCTGTCTGCATTTTTCGGGCCGATGGGGAGATCAAAGATCTCCCTCACCAGCATCCGGGCAGTTTGTTAAGGTAGAGGGAGGGAGCTAGGACCCGGCAGCCTGCTGGACAGAAGGAGGACCCAGGAGGCTGTGATCCTCCCGCGAGCACGCAGGTCGGATCATTGACGCGCATTACAATGGCAACACTCAGGCAGCGCTGTGCTCACGGGATGAAAATAGCAAAGTGCAGGATAAAGTGCATGCAAAACCACTGGACAATCTGGGATTGCAGTGCCAGGAGACCAACGGATACAATCTAACATCAATGTGTTAAACCATTTTCGACCAGTTTAACCTCAAAGCTGCCCCCAGCGCCAATCTTAGCTCCAACTTTCTGGAAGCGCAGAGTTGCTGCTGGGCAGGGGAGGCGCTGACTGGCTGAGAGGTCAGCTCAGTCTCTCAGCTAATAAGTGCTGCCACTCTGCACTTACTGAAACTCCTGAAGAAGGAAGCCGCCTGGGGGGTAGCCGATATGGACACTAGAGGCAACTTTGGGGTTAGACCATTCGGGAACGATTTAACCCCATGAGGTAAGAGTAAGCCCTGAGGCCTGCTGGCACCATAACAACTTAATTTAGATTAAGTTGTTTTGGTGCCTGGAGTGCCCCTTTAAAGGGTTACTCTAAGCACCACAACCCTTTCAGTGACTTGAAGTGAGCATGCACGTGCAGCATCTCAGTATGATGCCAAGCAATCAACAGACCTCAGGTAAGCCACAAAATATGGCTTATACAGGTGTTGGACAGGAAAAAAGAAAGGGGTTTTTATGGGAGGAGGTTCTTCCAAGGGTTACTCTAACCTCTCCATGACCATGTCTGCTCTTAGCAGTGGTCATGGTGGTAGAATGGTCTCTATGTGCAGCACTTCTGCTACAAACGCTGCACATATAGAGATATATGCACTTTTGTGCTGATGGCTAGTTACATGCCTCAGGCAGCCTGGAACTCTGTACAAACATTACATCTGTCGTGATCACAGACTGCACGCTGGTGACAGACATTATCAGTGCTAAGAGCGACAGACATTATCAGTACTTAGAGCGCACCTACAAATATATATATATATTTCAGTGAAGTGAGCTAGGGGAGATCTAGTCTTCCCCTTGTAGGTGCGCTCTAAGCACTGATAACGTCTCTGCGAGAATGGTGTCTATTTTCTATCAAACCTGTGTCTTATCTGCACTCACGTCTTTTTAACCCCTGTATCGCAACTCATGTTTCAATTCTATGTGTTGTTTTTGCTCAGAAATGCTTTAGACTTGAGAAAGGGAGGTTCTCCCGAAAGCTTGTCATTACAAAATTCTGTAAATCCAATAAAGAAGTATTACAAGATACAAATTGTATCTTTTTTTTAACATCTGCATCACTGAACTAATATGGCTACAATCTCTAACATTTCAGTTCACACTCGAAGAAAGTGTGAACTGAAATGTCGATTTTTTTGGGCAAGCATCTACTGAATAAAAGTTAAGTCTTTTTTTCTCTATACTTTCAAGTCCCTTGAGTGCTATCTTTTACAAGTCTCTCTCTCATATATATATATATATATATATATATATATATATATATATATATACACACACACACATACATACACATACATACACATACTTACATACAGTAAATACCTTGCATGAAAAATACCGGCACTCCTGGATTTACAATAAATGTGTTCTTTTATTTTCCAAAGAAACCCAAATCAACATTTGATGTCCTGATAAAAGTTCAGTTCAGGAACTAAAACGTTGACTTGGATTTCTTTGGAGATGTAATTTTGGGTCCCACAACACCATCTTCTATGGACACTCACCAACACATCCTGTAAGTGGGGATTATACCACTATACACTATCAAAACTGGAGCTGGTCATAGCTCCCCCAGATGTGAGTAAGCTACCGTTGTTTTATTACCTATAACTCATTTAAGTTGACATATTGCACTATTGGATTTCTCGTTTTCCTGTCTTCTACCCATCATATTCGCTAACACAAAGACCTACTGCCTTTTCAAGAATTTTACACTGCAAAATTCATTTTAACGGGGTAGTCATAAATAATTATTTATATGCTATGTCATTTACCCACACCTACTGCATTTTATTGCAAATAGCACTTTATTGTCATTCCTGTACTTTTGTGGCGCAGCCATTTTTTTTCTTTGTTGTTCTTGTTAAGTTCCTAATAGAACATTTTAATCATATTATAAATTATTTTTATTATAACCTTTTAATTAGAGTTTCCCACCCATTAGGGTAGGTAGGAGGAGCTACCTATAGTAATTTTACCATAGTGATGACCTGGGGAACAGAAATATCCACCTTTTGCAACATCATTAGCTAATGTGAGTTTTGTGCACAAAATACATCCATCATAATGCTGACGACTGACATTAAGTCAGGGCAGTGTCCTTCCCTTCTCCTCGCTGTTTTAGTCAGATTGCTGCATACACCCTAGGTTCAAAAATTATTGCCCATGAGAAGGATTTTATTGGACCACAGTGCAAGGCTAGTGCTTCGTTCACATTGGATTAAAGGGGATATTTTTTTCTTTTATTTATTTCACTTTATAATAATAATAATAATAGTAATAAAAAGGGTGCACGATACCAAGGACTACTGCCTCCCAAAAAAGAAGTTTTAAAAAAACAACCTATTTTTGGATGGAAAAATCCTATAACAAATCTATTAAATGCTCTGGAAATGGAAAGCAAAATATTAACTGCTAGATTTTCTCACTTTTAAGTAGTATTTTTGGAAAGATCTTGCCCAGACATTAATCCCAAGCCTTCCCATTTGGGCACAAAGAAACAGCATATGTTTCCTAGTGGCTCAAATCCAGGTGGTAGCCATGAACCCTGGTTATATATGTGTGTTCACATGCCCAGTGCAGTAAAGCAGGCTCCACACGTGTATTAACCCTTTACACACGGGCTGGCTATCCTCTTACAATACTGCTAGCCACCATGGTTTGCCAGCCTTAGCATACTGGGAGTTGCAGTAGTACAGCAGGCAGTGATCTCCCATTTGTCCCCAGCTGTTAAGGCTGGCATTGATAGCTATCCCTCTCAGGGGCTGTGTGCAGGCCGGATATAAACACTCCCACGTGTCAGGGACGCACACACAGTCATTATTAATGGCTGGGGCCCCCAGGGGCCACTTCATCCCCGGGAACCTGCAATGCTAGGAGCTCACGGAGTCTGCCCGGCTCTGGCAGGGATACCCCCAAACCCCCCCCCCCCCATACTGTGTGTAAACACCGGGGGTCCTGCTTCCGGTACCCAGAGATGGAGGGGCCACACAGCTACCCCCTCCCCCTCCTTCCTGCCGGGTCTGAGAGCAGCCAGCAGCCGGTGAGAGCGGGCCGGCACGGGGCCCCCTGGCTATCGGCCGGCTCCCTGCGGTCACGGTTACCTGGATCCGCTTCTTGTGTCTCCTACGCTCCGCCATGTCTTCCCCGGCCTGTCTGGTGACGTGGAGGAGGTGGGGCCTGGGAGGAGCGTGCGCGTGCCACCGGTGTGAGCGAGCCAGGCAGATTGCAGAGGGGGATGCGCGCTCCTGAGTGTGGAAGACATGGCGGCCGGTGGGGGGGATCAGTATATAAAATCCTGTCCGGACACTATGTAACACTCTGGGGATTGGTTTACAGAGCAGGAAACCGTGATGGTGATTAGTGTAAAGCAGGGATGCCCAAAAGGGAGATCCCAGATGTTTTAAAACTACAGCTTCCATGATGCTTTGCCATGCGAAATGCATGCTAAAGGCATGCAAAGCATCATGGGAGTAGTGGTTTTAAAACATCTGGGATCTCTCTCTTGGGCACCCCTGGTGTAAAGGGACAGTCTGTACAAGAGCTTTATAAATATACATAAAGTCAAAGGAGTGCTGCACACAAGCATGTTTACTGAGAGCTCTGTGGAAGGGGGTCCGCAGCCCACCAAAAAACACAAAAAAACTGAGGTCCACAGGCGTTACAACGTAGGGTGAAGGCAAAAGAATACATTTATTGCAGATCAAAAAGGACAAAACAAGATTTAATTTTTTTTATGTTTTTACGTTTATGCCTAGAGGTATACATGACTAAGGCCACTAGGCTGACATCTTGTATCTTTGTAATAAATATTAATCTTTTGCTTTCACCCCACATTGTGACACGTGTGGACCTCTATTTTTTTTATAATAAATATACAGTCCATACAGGAGCGTAGCCTCCCTCTTATAAACACATCAGAGCAGATTATCCGGATGCTCTCATGTTTTCCAGCCTTGGACATTTATAAGCAAATTGTGTAAAGTTTAGGGTACAGCAGGGGTTTAGTGAGTTTTAGTTCAAATATTTTTTATTTATTCTTTAGAACCCACTGCTGCACAGTGTCACAGGATATTACATGTATGGTATGACTGAGATGCATGTGAGAGATAGGATAATATAAAAGTGTATTTCTTCTCTGCTTGTAATGTGTGTGAAGGTATGCCGCTCTGTAAATGCATGCAGGGTTAAAGATAACGTTAGAAGTGGTCTGGGTAATGGGAGGTTTAAGGTTAGAGAGGGGTTATTGTCACTTACACACAGGAACTGACACACATTTACACACAAAGGCAACTGACTCACAAACCAAAAGCTTTCAGACAATAGTGAGAATGATGTTGGCTGTACTGGGGGGATAGAGGTTGTAGTGGGAAGGATATAGGCTAATGTACAGTTGCAAGAAAAAGTATGTGAACCCTTTGGAATGATATGGATTTCTGCACAAATTGGTCATAAAATGTGATCTGATCATCATCTAAGCCACAACAATAGACAATCACAGTCTGCTTAAACTAATAACACACAAAGAATGAAATGTTGCCATGTTTTTATTGGACACACCATGTAAACATTCCCAGTGCAGGTGAAAAAAGTATGTGAACCCTTGGATTTAATAACTGGTTGAACCTCCTTTTGCAGCAATAACATCAACCAAACGTTTCCTGTAGTTGCAGATCAGACGTGCACAACGGTCAGGAGTAATTCTTGACCATTCCTCTTTACAGAACTGTTTCAGTTCAGCAATATTCTTGGGATGTCTGGTGTGAATAGCTTTCTTGAGGTCATGCCACAGCATCTCAATCGGGTTGAGGTCAGGACTCTGACTGGGCCACTTCAGAAGGCGTATTTTCTTCTGTTTAAGCCATTCTGTTGTTGATTTACTTCTATGCTTTGGGTCATTGTCCTGTTGCAACACCCATATTCTGTTGAGCTTCAGCTGGTAGACAGATGGCCTTAAGTTCTCCTGCAAAATGTCTTGATAAACTTGGGAATTCATTTTTCCTTTGATGATAGCAATCTGTCCAGGCCCTGACGCAGCAAAGCAGCCCCAAACCATGATGCCCCCACCACCATACTTAACAGTTGGGATGAGGTTTTGATGTTGGTGTGCTGTGCCTTTTTTTCGCCACACATAGTGTTGTGTGTTTCTTCCAAACAACTCAACCTTGGTTTCATCTGTCCACAGAATATTTTGCCAGTACTGCTGTGGAACATCCAGGTGCTCTCGTGCAAACTGTAAACGTGCAGCAATGTTTTGTTTGAAATCCATTCTTGTTTAGTGTTTTACGTATTGTAGATTCGCTAACAGGGATGTTAGCATTTGCCAGTTACTTTTGTAAGTCTGTAGCTGGCACTCTAGGATTCTTCTTCACCTCATTGAGCAGTCTGCGCTGTGCTCTTGCAGTCATCTTTACAGGACAGCCACTCCTAGGGAGAATAGCAGCAGTGCTGAACTTTCTCTATTTATAGACAATTTGTCTTACTGTGGACTGATGAACAGCAAGGCTTTTGGAGATACTTTTATAAACCTTTCCAGCTTTATGAAAGTCAACAATTCTTAATCGTAGGTCTTCTGAGAGCTCATTTGTGCAAGGCATCATTCACATCAGCAATGCTTCTTGTGAAAAGCAAACCCAGAACTGGTGTGTGTTTTTTATAGGGCAGGGCAGCTGTAACCAACACCTCCAATCTCATCTCATTGATTGGACTCCAGTTGGCTGCATTTCACTCCAATTAGCTCTTGGAGAGGCCATTAGTCTAGGGGTTCACATACTTTTTCCACCTGCACTGTGAATGGTTACATGGTGTGTTCAATACAAACATGGCAACATTTCATTCTTTGTGTGTTATTAGTTTAAGCAGACTGTGATTGTCTATTGTTGTGACTTAGATGATGATCAGATCACATTTTATGACCAATTTGTGCAGAAATCCATATCATTCCAAAGGGTTCACATACTTTTTCTTGCAACTGAAAGTAAATAGGGTCTACAGTTTACTATAGGGGCAGCAATTGGGTGTGGTAGATCTAAAGGGATGATAGGGAATATTGTAGGAGGGATAGTGGCATGTAGGGTTGTAGTGGGGAAATAGGAGTTGTAGTGGGAAGGATACTGGCTGCAATGTAGATGGAATATAGTGGGGGTTAGTGGCTATAGTTGGAGAATAGGAGTTGTAGATGGAAGAATAGAGGCAGCAGTGAGTAACAGGAGATATAGTGGGGACATAGTGCCTATAGTTAAGGAATATACGCTGTAGAGGGAAGGATAGAGACTGCAGTGAAAAACGGCATATATTGGGGGCATGGTGGCTCTAATTGGGGAATAGGCGTTGTAGAGGGAGGATAGAGGCTGCAGTGAGTAACAGGCGATATAGTGTGGGCATAGTGACTCTAGTTTGGGAATAGGGGTGTATAGTGGCTGCAGTGGGAGACATAGGTTATAGTGGGGCGATTTTAGATTTTCTTATCGGCCTTATCACTCCAAGGTTGTGGCCTTGTGAAAAAATCTAGCCCTGGCTCCTAGGGTACCCCGTGGTGTCAACTGGTGGAGGGCAGCACAGTGTATCTCTTCTAATAAAGTATAATTCAGAGGTCCATCCGTCCTGTGGCCCATGGATACATCAGCCACCTCCTCTCATTATTAGTACTGGTACAAAATGCCTGAAGCTTCTTTCCCTGATGTTATGCATACATATATTGATCTTTCCCAAAAGGGCAGCAGTCTTTGACACTGTCCAGCCCAATATTATACTTTGTGATATGATAGACAAAAGGTAACCTGCAAGGACTTCGGGTCCTTGCAACGAAGATCTGAAACGTAGATGCTGGTAGGAGCATATTCTTATAAATCACCACTTCCTCAGAGGGCAAATATAAACATGGCCTGGAATCTAGAGACTGAAATGTTGTGAAACACACTCTATTACTGCTATACTGCTACCTAATGCTTGTGTTGCAATGCACTGTTGGTGGCATAGTGTGCCTTCAAGTCGAATCAATTCAAATGGACCTAACATCCCATCTACTCTACCAAGCATGCACCTTATCACAGATACATATGGTTTTTTCTCTCTCTCACACACACTCTCTCTCTCTCCAGTCACTAGACAAACAAGCAGATATTCACACATTACAGCCCCCGGCTACAAACAAACAGCGGTTTCTACACATGCACAATCTCACAAGCAGCATCAAAACACATACAACACCACAGGCAGGGCCGCCATCAGGGCGTGACAACCATGACGGTAGTCACGGGCCCGGCGGTCCTGGGGGGCCCGGACTGCACAGGTAATCCTCTGCATGCCCGGGCCCCCAGCCCTTCAATCTGCATATATATATAGAGAGAGTACCGCTATGTATATATGCCTCTGCGGGCCCATGATATACTTACCTTCCCCTCCAGCACTCTCGCGAGCCACAGCAGTAAAGCGTTGCCGCGGGTTGTCATGACAACGCTCCGCAGCACGCAATGCATGCTGGGCTCGCGTCATAAATAGAGCACTGGCTGCAGGAGGGAGTCAGCTGGGCTCCTCCTTGCTGGCCCAACAAGTGGAGCCACCAGACCACCAGGGAATCCAGTGTCGCCCCTCCCTGGCTACAGGTAAGAGGCAGGGAGGGGGGAATACATCTTTTTTTTTTTATTATAAAAATTCAACGTAAAAAATAAATACCTCCCAGCAGCATTTGTCACACAATCCACCACACACATACATCAAACAGACAAACTGCATCCACTACACAACCATACACATCATCCACTACACAACCACACACATCATCCACTACACAACCACACACATCATCCACTACATAAACACACATCATCCACTACACAACCATACACATCATCCACCACATAAACAAACCATAAACCACATAAACACACAAACTACATCCACTACACACGTCATCCACTACACACACACAACATCCACTACACAAGCACACACTCTGCATTCACTATACACACACTACATCCACTACACATACACTCTGCAGTCACTATATACACACTACTTCCACTACACAAACACACACACTGCATTTACTATACACACAAACACTATATCCACTACACAAACACACACTCTGCATTTACTATACACACAAACACACACTGCATTTACTATACACACAAACACTATATCCACTACACAGACACACTATTCACTATACACACACAAACTACATCCACTACACAAACACACACACTCTGCATTAACTATACACACACACTACATCCACTACACAAACACGCAATCTGCATTCACTATTCACATACTACATCCAGTACACAAACACACACACTGCATTCACTATACTCATAATACATCCACTATACACACACACTCTGTCCACTACACAAACATGCAATCTGAATCCACTATAAACAGCGTATGCACTTTACTCACGCACTTTGTATCCACTACACACATTCTATAGCCACTATACACACACAAACAAATTCAGTACACACACACTTCATCCTTGTGGGTGGG